GGCATCTCGCCTTGGGGCTTGACATCAATCTCATCTTTTTTGTTTGTATCCATTAGAATACGACACCACGGATTTACACTATTTTCTTTACACGTTATAACTTTGTACAATATCGGTTTTTGGTACTCCCTAGGACAAGTTTCTGGAAAAAGGCTAGCATAGTATATCCGTTTCATTTGGAGCTTGGTTTATTGTCTCTCTACTCTCTTTCTCTCTCCTATCTTTCGACTTCAAAGTCATAGGTACTAGAAATCGAGTTTCTCGCAGAAATATTCCCAGCAGGCATGTTTGTACAATATTGGAACTTGTTAATACCCCGCAAAATACTAATACATGACAAGTACATCAGTAAATGTGTCTCACCTCGAAGAGTGTAAATGCGCGTGTCTGGCGAATATGGCCGAGACATCTAACGGCGATCCTCGAAATAAGCTCCGAATTAACAATAATTACTCAATTAAATCCACATGATTACTCTTTCATGACTATATCTCGAACTAGATGAATAAGGCCCTGAACGATGCCTACCTAGGATGTAATATCATCTAATTTCGAATACACTAATGTCACTAATATCAGGTACGTAATAGATTTAATCTTCTATGCTCATTGCTATGTAAATATGCCAGCATACTTGGTAGGACTTCCATGCCGGACATCTAGGGAGGGTAAACACAGACTCAATCTGAATCGATTATGCGAAGTAACTACATGCCTATGATGCGCATGAGAAAGTAGTCACGTAGTGATCGACCGCCTATACGATTGGCCACGGAGGATATGAGTGTACACCAACTTTGCCACCACCAACTGCATGGTATGGGATATATTTAAAGTCGAGGGTAGTACCAGACAAGACCCTGCTGCTAGACACCGACCAACATGCGTCTGCATAATTCCATTTTAGCGATCGCCGACTTGTCGCATTCCCCAGATGAGGCGTCAAAAAGTGTCCATGCACATCACGTCAGTCGGGCATACTGACATAAACGACTTGGGATATATTGAATCAATCAAAGCACGAAGAAGAAACACTTGCTCTTCAACAGTTCTGTATAGGTGGAAATATGGCTGACACTGGCGTCTTCCTAAGTAAAACACCGGAAATGAACTTCTCCGCGAGGAGGGTGAGCGGAACATGTCAGCCACGGGCCGATCTTATGAGGATCACTCCGAGTCGAAAGCAGGGACCTATGTACCATTGTGAAATGACAGCCTCGCAGCAGAACGATGGGCTAGGAGGACCACAGGATAAGAAAAAGGGTCCAAGTACCATGTGTACATAGCCTGCCATTTTGATTTTTGGGGCCTACGTGAGCCCCCTTTTAGATGGAATTGATATTGAGGTACTAATCAAGACCACGTTGCTCTGCAGTAGCTTACCAGCTAGACGGATAATGATGAAGGTAAATGTTTGGGCATCTACGATGCAGCCAACCATATACCTGTACTAGGTTGTGCTTTGTCCTCGAAAGACGATTCTCGGATAACTTGGAACGAGGCAGTGGGTGGATTGGAGCTTGACCCGGACCTCTGGTTCGGCCCCAGCATTAGCAACTCCGTAAGGCTCTAATATTCTAAGATTATCAGATTCCTAGATACCATAGGTATAGGTACCTACATTGAAAGAATATGAAGGGGCCGCCAATGGCTTTTGTTCAAAGACCCAACAGATAAAAATAAAGATTAATCTCATCAACGCCATGATTGCGTGTAGACTCAGCTTCTAGCTACTTCCAGGCTTTGCTAAACTGCTAGAATTATCCTTTTGCTTGGTCTTTCATATCTAGAGAATACAGCCACTGTACGTTCCTTCGTAAAATATCTAGCCCCTGAGCAACAAGTTAATCGAAGATCTAAACTCCGAGTACGTACGACCTTGGTCATGAAGGTACTAGGATGGAAGTACGATGACTAGTGTACAATACAACGTCGATGCTCCGCTGCCCAACAACGCCCCTCTCCTTTAGCAAACTTTTCTATACGGAGATTAGTTCGGAACCGAAGATACGTTACCATCAGATTATTTGGAATTGCAGCCACTTTCTATTCATATCTATCACTCGGCCCATTTGCCAGTACTACCATTCGGATTTGAAGCGTTCCGTTTCTCGTATTTCCAAATAATCTTGACCTTAGTTCCTCTCTTATTTGGCTACCACTAAAGGACTGTACGGCTAACCACTGTAGTACAATCAAGATAGCTACATGCATAACGCTTAGTATCCAATTATCCAATTTAGTTTTGTAGTTGACATATGTAATACATGCATTATGACTATTAGGTACTACTACTGCAGCCAAATGGGGGCCCGACGACTATGCTACACAAATCAGCCCGGCCCAGGTGCCATTACTAGTGTACATACAGATGGATAACGAGGATAAAGACGGGAGTAAGTAGGTACCACCATCCACTACCGAATATCCCCGGACTCATATCGCTTTCTCTGAAACGTGTCTATACGTCGAGGATATACATTAGACATAAACTACCCCAAGGGTTATAGCGCTAAGGAGATAAATATCGTTGTGAACATTACGCTCGATCCTGGCGTTGGTACATCGCCGGGATTTGCTACAATAAAGACTACTTAAGTTATTGACTGGGTCCAGGTGGAGTGGTAGGATAAGACATGGACATGGATAAAACTTCGTTATCCTATTAGTCCAGTATTATCATCCCAACAAGTGATAAACTAACAATTTTCACATCATAGCTCTCGAGAGTACATAGAGATGCAGTTTAACGTCTCCACATGATAGGTGTTGTACATGGCAGGTTTAGAAATGATATTCCTAGCAGAAAAAGGAGGTGCAAGCAATGACCTTGACCAGCCTGCCGCCGGGATGCAACAACAAGTACTATATCTCTTAGAGGTGTGGGCTTACAATATTGCCTTCGTATTGTCCAAATCAAAGCTAAGGCTCTAGGAAGTTGGGCTTTGCCACATAGATATCCTCTCCTAAAACCAACAAATCATTAGGTAGATTGTAATTAATAGAGTGTGGGAACCTGAATCTCTAATGCATTAATATTATTAGCAATAACATTGATCATGCTTGCGTCTCCTTGGCTCCGTCGTGGCCACAAGAGCGACAGCATTAAAACCTACATAACCTAATATAAGGCCATATCGTGTACTATTATAGTAATACAAAACATAGGACGCGTAGGAAGCACGCCCATTCAAAATCATGAAGTCACCACATGCCTTTGTTAAGAAGACGCAGGCTATATGCTACCTATTCCATTCCATCGCCGTCCGAGGTCACACCCATACGGGCCGAGACTCGGGAACATGAATCAAGAAACAATTTAGCTCTAATTTTGAGGACACGCGCGTCATCCAAAACAGTGACATAGTCGACATCGTGCATATTATTGTGGCGCGTCGTACTAATACGCCTCCCCCAAGATGTCTCGGCCTCTGGCACTGCATTAGAGGGTCTCGAGGATATGTATCACATAAATTAGTTCCGATATCTATTTTATTCTGTCAAACTAAAGAGCAATATTACGCTGAGGGGGAACACCGTCTTCGGCGGAACACTCTCCGGCACTTCATAGCCAATACGCAGATGGGCTACAACTTGACAGAGCTTGAACTAATCATTTGGGTATTAGGTAGGCAGTTTGACGCTACAGACTGCATAAGATATAACCAACTAGAATGAGAGACATGGCAGACTAGGTACTAACCCTAATACTCCCGAAATCAATAAGATATGCTCAACAGTTAAGGAATTTCCTATGTTAATCTGACATTGCGACTTGGCTCAAGTGCATAATACTGCCCCTAAGCTAGCCTGATTATTGCGGAGGTTCGATACCTTTAAGGGGTACATAGATCCCTATTTTAATTAAGTTTATACCGTGTAACGATGCAAGTGAAGATAGTTACCTGACAATAATTTAATCAACCTATAATTGTAGGCAAAGTCTTAGTAGTAGAAAACTGTAACGATTCATTCGTGATTGTCTAGACTTTACGCATGAATGCGATTGCCTTCCAATTCCTGTTCGAATATATTCCGCGGAGAAAACGTTGATCGACTAACTGAAAGTCTCAGATAAAGTGAGACGCCAAGTATCTCGCCTCACGGACGGTTCCACCTCAGTCGAAATGTCTCCTAGTAAGACAAAACTAACGGTACCTACATAAACTTAGTGAATTCTCCGTTAAAGCCTATCGTGAATTATCTGAATCTTGATCGGGTTTTATATACCTACTTAGGATATCTACCCATACGGATAGAGGCGCCTCGAGATTGCTTAGTATCAACTTGTTAACATACTCCGATGCTTATTTCAGGAGGCTGGTATATACACCTATTTATCAGATACAGTTTCTGTCAACAAGAGCAACTAGCATAACTAGTAAAATCAAATATTGTCGTCGCTAATACCTTGTTATAACATGGGTATAATTAGGTAGGTAGGTACCCATATAATAGGGGAAAAGGAGGCCCTCTCAACCACCTATTATTCCAGGCTGACCAAGATCATTATTTTCTTGAATTATCCCTGAAAATTGTTCCCGAAAAGTATAACAAACTTCCGTCAACATGCCAAATAAGATAATAGCAATAGTACCAATTAGTCTCATTATACTAGCAAGTGTCACCTACTATCAACCTCAACCGCCTCGTATCTCTAGTATCATTGTCTCTTTGAACGTTGTTTCTTTCCTGTTTTATTAATGTCACTGGCACCTAAAACTCATCTGGCCTGAATAGATATTGACAGCATTAAGGACCATGAATTCAAAGTTGAAACCTTAATGTCTGCAAATCCGAGCAATGAATACGGAATAGAAAATAAACTTATGGGGATACCTGCCGAAAAAGTCCATCTTTCATGTTATTCGCCAATCAGAGCAAGCCACTCTTGATTCGATACTAGCAACGGGTAAGTACCTATCAGTACCCACTTAAGAGGGGCTTATCTTATCGGGATTATTTGCTTCAACCCGTCGACTCATTAGGTACCTTTCGCTTTTCAACGAGGGGCAGAGTGACTCTTTAAGCTGATCCATCAAGAATTTAAAGTCGAACAAGAATTTAAAGTCGAATTAAGCCCAACGTAGGTACGAAGTCGAATTATCGAAATCACTACCGCGAGGACCGAATAGTCGCAACCATGGCGGACCTAGCAGAAAGCACTGCTAAGCTGCAGCTTGACGAGGAGACGGGGGAGATGGTCTCTAAGGCAGAGTTAAAGAAACGGTTAAAGAAGCGCGAAAAGGCGAAGGCTAAGGAAGCCGCAAGAAGTGAGGTGAAGAGCGAGGAGAAATCCAAACCGGCACCGAAGCCCAAAGCGACCACAGAAGAACCAGCAATCGATCCTAACAATATGTTCAAGACCGGGTTTCTTGACGAGGTCTTCAAGATCAGACCTATGAAACCCGTTTTCACTCGTTTCCCTCCCGAGCCCAACGGTTTTCTTCATATAGGACACGCAAAGGCCATCGCTGTGAACTTTGGTTTTGCTAGATATCACGGAGGCGAGTGCTATCTTCGGTAAGCGATCGAACACGTCGAAACTGAGGAATATCGCGCCATGGCTTACCTCATTCGATCGATAGTTACGACGACACCAATCCCGAAGCCGAGGAGCAGGTCTACTTCGATGCTATTCTCGAGATGGTGGAATGGCTAGGATTTAAGCCCTACAAGATTACTTACTCGTCCGATAACTTTCAGAAGCTCTACGACCTCGCCGAGAAGTTAATAGGACTCGAAAAAGCCTATGTCTGCCAGTGTAGCGATACTGAGATTAAACTCCAGCGTGGCGGTGAAAAGGGAACTGCTGGTCCGCGTTACCGCTGCAAGCATGCTGAGCAACCCGTCGAGGAGAACCTGAAGAAGTTTAGGGACATGAGAGATGGAAAGTACAAGCCTCAGGAGGCCTTCCTCAGAATGAAGCAAGGTTCGTCTACTAGTTACGAAGAATGTTTGTCTTAGATTATACTGACATCTTTCCAGAGTAAGATATTCATTAAGAGCATAGTGCCGACACGTATAGTAGCTAATGAACCACAGCATCACAGACGGCAACCCGCAAATGTGGGACCTAGCAGCTTACCGAGTCCTTGATGTAAGTTTCATCTTTCCAATGGCTGGTGATTCAAGGGACTTTTGGGAACACCATAGACCCCCAATCCACAGCCTAGTCTCATATAAGTAACTGGTCACGATTACTGACTCTCGGTCTGAAGAAACCGCATTATCGCACTGGAGATACCTGGAAGATCTACCCAACTTACGACTTTACACACTGTCTGTGCGATTCATTTGAGGGCATCGTGAGTATCCATACATGAATGACATTGGCCGACTTCGGTTGCTTACATACTACCTAGACCCATTCCCTATGCACTACGGAATTTGGTACGTAACCTCGCGCGTTAAGGTCCTAGCTATCTGCTTGGTGCTTCTTGACATACTAATTTGCCGATCACTAACCATTATGGATAAAGTCCAAAGCCGAGTCAGCTACGAATGGCTAAATAAGACCCTTGGAGTATACGAGCCGATGCAAAGGTGAGTTTTATGTTATATATAGGAGATTTTTTTCGTTTAAGTGTTTTCTGTCCCAGAAACATGCTGACACATCTATAGAGAATACGGTAGACTGTCAATTTCTGGCACGATCCTCTCGAAGCGTAAAATCTTGAAGCTCGTATCGGAGAAGATTGTACGAGGGTGGAATGATCCTCGTCTTTATACGTTAATCGGTATCAAGCGAAGAGGTGTTCCACCTGGCGCTATTCTAGAATTCGTCAACGAGCTTGGCGTGACAACTGCAAACTCCGTCATTGAAATCAAGCGTTTCGACCAAGCTATCAGGAAGTACCTGGAACGAACGGTGCCGCGGCTGATGCTTATTCTGGATCCCATCCCTGTAGTTATTGAAGATGCCGACGATCTCGACGGGAAGGGTCTTGCGTTTCCATTTAGTCCGAAAGACCCTAAAATGGGCTCCCACGATGTCACATTTAGCAAGACTATTTACATTGACCGCTCAGATTTTAGAGAGGACGCAGATCCATCATTCTTCCGCCTTGCTCCCGGAAAGGTAAGAAGCTATTCTAAGCCTCCGTAGAAGTGTACCCAATGCTAACTCAAGATCCAGACTGTCGGACTTCTTCAAGTACCGCACCCGATAAAGGCAGTGTCATTCACCAAAGACGACGCGACAGGAAAAGTTACTGAAATTCGGGCAGTATTTGACAAGGAGACAAAGAAGCCGAAGGCGTATATCCAATGGGTTCCAACCGAGGCGGCTGGTACTCGAAAAGCGGAAGTCAGAATCTACAACTCGCTGTTTAAGTCCGACAACCCCAATGAGGCGCCAGGGGGTTTCTTAAACGATATCAACCCGGACAGCGAGGTTATCTACCCGAACGCGTTAGTCGAGTCTGGATTTGACGAAGTTAGGAGGAGGGCGCCGTGGCCAGAAGCAGCAGGTGAAAGCGAGCTTGGTAAGGGAGGACCCGAGAGCGTCCGTTTCCAAGCGATGCGCATCGCATACTTCGCCATGGACTCTGACTCGACCGACGATCGTATTATTCTCAACAGAATTGTGGCATTAAAGGAGGACGCGGGAAAGAGTTGAAGTATCCAATGATAGCTGACTCTTGATACCGGGAGAATATTGGGGAAATGGGTAGTGCAGTGCCTGGCTCACACGAGGAGGTGTAAGTTCGTCATAAAGGCCGGCCGCAAGTGTGATAAATTAGGTACCTGCTTAGTCCACTTCCAATCCGTTACGCAGGCCTAGTTTCTATCTTAGGTGCTTTTACTCGTCGATAGCGTAGACTAGAAGAAATTCGCGTATTTGCTACTCCTTAAGCAGCTATGATATCCATAGCCTCTTCTTTTGGAGCCAATAAATTATATTTTCCCCAAGGTCCTCGGACTAATACTATATTTTAGATAATAAGTGTACTCGTTGCAGCATAATGTCCGCCAAGTTGGTGGTGTTGTGGCGGTGCAAGCTCGAGGATGAATGATCAATCTGTTGAATGGCAAACTATTCGCCACATTAATTTATCTGCTCTCAATCCTATACGTATTATACTTTAGTAACCTAGAGATCATAGATCATATCTATAAATCTTAGTCTAAAGCCCTTTTTATTCTATTGGTATGTTTTATTTGTCCATGCTTGATTTCTCATCATGGAGACTCTTCCGTCCTACGAACGCGCAACCACCGCTCCGGACTTGTTGGATTTAGTCGCATCGTATATTCCGGTGAAAGATTGGCCTCGATGTTGCTTGGTAGACCGCCGATTTTATCGCCAGTTTGCGCCCCGTCTCTGGCAAGATCCTTTGGTAACTATAAGATGTCTTGGGCTACATCCGAATGACGGTGGGTGTGAAGTTTTTCTTTGTTTTCTTCTTCCTCACTTAACTCTTCATGCTTCGCTGTTATACTGATACTATATTCTTAGACTTGGCGTGGTATCGCCGTTTTATTAATAGACATATCAAGATTGCTAGGCTCAAAACTCGGTATTACGTTCGCTCCTTGGACTTTCGGAGCTTCGCACTACGTGCATCTGGGCTCTATTCCTCGGAAGCCAGCGAACGAGCCATCTCGGAGAGTTTCAAGTATTTACCCCAGCTATTTCCAGGTCTAATATGCCTCTTCGTGGATGGGCACCCCGAGCTTAATCCAGAGTCTTTAGCTACCGTTACTCGCACATCGTCACAGTCTTTACAGCTACTCGATCTAGCCCGCTGCCCTTATGAGCTTACGCCTAAGTTCTTTAGCTCCAACCTCTTTAGGAGCTTGGTCTACTTGGACATGTCCTTCACCCCAGGTTCCGTCAAAACGGCAGTCTCGTCATCTCTAAACCCTGATGCGCTTCCAGAACTCTGTGTATTGAGGGTTGCAGGTAGAGAAATGGATAATCTAACCGCCAGCTTGCTGTTTCGATCATTCCGCCGCCAGCTATGGAGTCTCGATCTAAGCAACAACAAGCTCGGGGATGGAATAATCGATGACCTTGTGGAGAATTGTATCTCTCCCTCTACGTTCCATACGGACGCACACTTTGACACCGAGGGGAGATTAATTCTACCAAAAGACATCGGCAGTCGAAAATATGGACCTTTTGAATTCATCGAGGAGTCCGAGAGAAGTAAACACGAGCGGGACCTGGAGAGATATCTTTCAGACTCGCCTTTTTATTCTCAAAGAGCGGACCAGGCAGAGCTGCAGGAATGGCAAGCCATTCGCCCCGACGGCCTCGCACCTCTAAGACACGATGATGTGAATACGGCGAAGCGATTGCTGCTTAGTGAATCATTATCGGCTACAGCCGGCAGCTTAGATTCCAGGGGATCCGGCCTCACGCATCTATATTTAAGCGGGAACAAGTTTACGGTCTCTGGCATTGAGCGACTTATAAGGACATCTCGAGGACGACTCGAACATTTCGAATGTGATTCGTGTCTTTGCACGCCAACCAATTTTCAAATTGGCCATAACTTCAAGAGCGTAAGGATCCTAGGCTTCCCAGGCTCCGCGCCCCTATTCCGACCGGTTATTTCCTCGGCAATCCGGTCTCTACGGGTTCATCATTCTCTCGTAACTCAAGTCCCATCCATTTCCATGGAAGGACTCCCATCCAAATCTGCAGTACACCTTGCAGAAGGCCAGTTATTTAAAAGTATACGTCGCGCCTATCCTCTGTCCTTTGCTCCCGATACGAACCCTCGGATTACCTCTCTTACGCTCACCAATATCCCAGCACGTTCCACAGGCCCAGTAATTGAACAACTGATTCGTTTTATAGATCTCGCCTGTGTACAGCAGAAGGCTATAAGGCACGCCGAGACTTTATTCCACGGCCGCGGCTCGTCGGTTCTAAAGGGACTCCGACATATACGACTTGAGCTGGAGCCCAACTTCTCAGACAGCAATAACGTCATATCAACAAGCAGCGACGTAGACTTCGATAAGCTCCTCGATCCCGCCCAAGAAAGCTTTAGTCAAGAGTGTGCATCGAGCTTCTTCGACGACGACGTGTCTTTTGGGATTACATCACGAAGTGCACCGAAGAAAACGCAGGCACAGCCAAGCAAAGCACCCGCCAGTGCAGAGGACTACCTGCGATGGACTTCAGGGCGATTAAAGTCGCCCCCTTACTCGGACGTTAGTTCTGAGTACATGACTTCTCACGTCGACGCCGCCGATTCATGGAGCGGGAACTTCTACTCGGTCCCCGTTTGGATCGGATCAGGGCATATCGGCCCGCACGCTGCCGTCAACGAGTACATGTGGAACGTGCAGGACGCCAACCTCCGTACGGACATTGGGCCCGCAACGCCGAACCATATTGCTGCTGGGGTGCCGCCAATGACTTATATCTTCCACGCGGCGTGGGAGGCCATGATAATGCCCAAGAGCAGCGCCATCCGAGAACTGGCAAAGAGTTCTGTTGGGTTTAGAGACGTAGCGGGGGCTATCAAAGAGTACCGTATTCGAACGAAGGGCACGGAGGAGCACTGGGATGGTAAGCTTGAACTAGTGCGGACGGGGTGACCTAGTATAGCACGGCGCTCTTCTGTGATCATGCTATTTGGGTTGAGATATATTTTATGCGTTTTTATTTTAGTGAGCTTCCTTTTGTCGTTACTATATCCTAGGTCGGTAGATACCCTTTCAGCCTCGAAATTCCTATAGGAAATATGTCCGAACATATGCATGCATAAAATCGCTCTCTGAGTTCTCAAATGCCTACGCAAGATACCTGCTCATTTATCAAGCCAATTTTCCAGGTACAAATGGATGTCCAGCACTAAGCCCACCGTCGACAGCCCACGCTTGACCATTTACGTAGCTAGACTCATCACTACCGAGGAAGAGAGCGACGCGGGCGATCTCGTCGGCGGTACCGCCTCGCTTCAGCGGGTTCAACTGGCCGATCTTCTTCTCGGTGCCGCGAGCTCGCGCAGCTTCGAACGTCTGACTCGTCATCCCCGTCTCGATCAGCCCGGGGCATATAGCGTTGACGCGGATACCCGTGCCAGCTAATTGGTAGGCGATGGTCTGGGCTAGCGAGATTACGGCCGCCTTGGACGCTGCGTAAGGTGTCGTGCCCGCATTAGACCGCAGTCCAGCCACTGACGCCGTGCCGATAATACTTCCCGATGGGACCGGCTTCGAGGGCGAGGTCTTCTGCATGGCGGGCGCGGCGTACTTGGCAGCGAGGAATACGCTGCGAGTTGGCGAATGTGAGCACGTGTCTATCATGTATACTGATATGGCCAGCTCATTATAAGTATAATAGAGAATAAACAAACCTAGCTACGTTGGTATCGAAGACGCGCATGAATTCATCCTTACTAACATCCGAGAATAGCGCATATCGACCAACAACGCCCGCGTTCGCGAAGAATACGTCCAGCCTACCGTACGTCTTTATCGCATGATCCACGACTTCCTTAACAGCCGCCTCATCCGCGGCGTCAAACTTGCGCGCGTGGACGTCGACGCCGGGGTATAAGGTCTCGATCTCGCGCTTGTGCGCCGCTAGATACTTGTCGTCGAAGTCGCAGATATACACGGCTTTAGCACCGTTCTCGGCAAACTGGTGAGCGCTCGCCCGGCCAATTCCTAGCACGGAGTTTGTTCCTGTAATTATGACGACTTTTCCTTGGGCACGGGGGCCTGCAGATTTGCCGGCGGGTTTTTTGATTGCTGGGAGTGCATTGGGGGAGGAAGAGGACGACGACGACGACGAAGACGCGGAGATCTGGTTTCCCAGGGCCTGGATCCTTTGTTTCGCGGTGTCGGACATGGTTAGGTGCTTGGAGAGTCGAGACTGGCAAAGTAATAATCTAACTGGCAACGAGGGAATTGAGCATCAACGCAATATTAGCATATTAGCATGCTCTTCCAGGGTTGGGATAGATGCCTTGTCCGCTTCGCCATTCTCGCTCGAAAAGCTGTAGGAGCCGAGTTTGACGTATTTGTATTTCTTAAGCGGTAAGGAGCCGAGGTACGGATCGCGGTGCAACATCGATTGCAGTAGCGCGTATTACCCCAACCGCCCCACTGCCCTTACCCCAGACGTGTGTTTGCTACCGTGCATGCACTGTATTTTAGCTGGGGTAACCAAATAAATGGTACGTACCTCTTGTATAAGATGGAAATATGTTAGGTTAGGTACGTTAACATGGAACTTGCCTCACGCCATGAGCAAGAGCATCTTGCTCATGTTCATGGGTCTGAATTACCACGGGAAGCTCTGAACCTTATGTACAGTATTATACCATTTTTACATTCATAAAAATTGACAAATTAGAAGGTACGGATCCGTACTCTAGAGGCACATCTTCGATTGTAAATGCGCAAGTTTATCTTCTTATTTCCTCGCTACTTCGCAGACTTACAGTCATTGGCCTTTCAGTAATGGGAATTTACATAAACCCAAACCAGTTAATAAATCAGTTAATATGACAATCTTTCGACTTTATCGAAAGTTCGTTCTGGCTATCGTGTGCCTAATCGCCATCTTAATCACCTCGACGCGCCTCACCAAGTGGTCGCTTCACAGTTCCTCGCTCGGATTTTCGTCTTTTCCACTCGAATACAATCCCAATCGTACCAACTTGTCCAGTTCTGTCAGCACTACTAATCATGCCGGCTCGACGACGTTGCCTCTAGTGAGACCCTACGAGCCATCATGCAAATACTTTCCCAACACGTCTGATATCCTCGTTGTTGTTAAGACCGGGGCCACAGAGTCATATTCCAAAGTCCCTACGCAACTCATCACCATATTAAGATGTCTTCCGGAATTCCTGATATTCTCCGACATGGAGCAGAATATCGCTGGGTATCACGTTCGTGACAGTTTGGACTCTGTACTCGATCAAGTCAAAGAGAGGAACTATGACTTCGACCTCTACCTCAAGCAGAAGGCTTGTATTGTCGACCAGCAGAGTTGTAACTTATACAGCGAACGAAACCTCAAGTTTGAAGGATGGAGGCTAGATAAATACAAGAATATTCATATTGCTGAAAAGACCTATCACTTACGCCCAAATTATGATTGGTACCTGTTCATCGACGCTGATACGTATGTGCTCTGGCATAATCTCGTCCAGTGGTTACGAAAGCTCGGGGATCCTTCCAAGAAGCACTATATTAGAAGTATAGCACTTCTGAATAACTTCGCCTTCGCACACGGTGGTAGCGGATATATCCTATCGCGAGCAACGATGAGGGATCTTGCCAGAGATCACCGCGGCATCGCTAATCAGTACGATACGAAGGCTAGAGTATCTTGCTGCGGCGATTACCTGTTGAGTCTCGCCTTGAACGAAACACTCGGCATTGGAGTTAAGCAAGCTGTAAGAATTCCCAAACGACCTAATACCTACTTGGCCAGACTACAGAAGGTTACCTAACACAATCGTAGTGGCCGACGATAAACGGTGAGAAACCATATACCATCCCTTACGGACCCCGCGAATGGTGCCACCCTCTCGTAACTATGCACCATATGGACTCGGAAGAGATCTCCTCGTTCTAGGATTTCGAGCAGCGATTCTACCAGTCCCGAGGCGTGCCTCGTCCTATCATCCGGTTCAAGGACGTATACCACGAGTTCGTCGCGCCAAAGCTCATGACCAAGCGTGACGACTGGGATAACTTGAGCGAGGATGCGTTATACCTGGACCCAGAGCATAGCGGGCGCTATCCGAAGTGGCAGCGGGATAGCGCTAAGAAGCCACACCAGCAGATCCGTGCCGCGGCCGTCGAGCTAGATGCGCACAAGTCGTTCGAACACTGCCGTGAGCTATGCGACAGCAATCACGACTGCTTCCAATTCTCGTACCGTGCGGGAGCCTGCGCATACAACAGATCCTTCCGGCTTGGTAAGCCAGCCCCGAAGGTGGACAACGAGGAAGAGAGGTGGGTAAGTGGCTGGAAGATCGAACGGATTCGCGCTTGGGTGGAGAGACAGGGGCAATGTAAAGAGCCCGTCTGGCCTAAGATATAATCTGTATGTGGGTATATGTGAATATGTATAGTCGGGCACTCGAAGCACGAGTTCTTTTGATAGGGGAGGTGCTTAGTGGATGCTGATAGTTCTCTAGAAGGGAATTCAAAGTTCAACTCGACGTGAGCTTGACGAGTGCTGTAAACTTGGAGGCTCATATAAATCGACCGTGTTAGCCGAGCCGTCGTATTGTAGGGTCAAAGTCTGCTTCTCTTGAGAACTAAATATTGCTTATCCGCATCTGCAGTAGTTATTATATTCTTCATTAAATTCATTGAATGTCAAAGGTCTCACTCGCAGCATTGCTCTGGCCGGGGGGTCCTGGATGGTGCCATCTTTTATCGCTTTGTATTTGAATATAAATATGCCTTATGATTATCCCTTACATGCGATATACGGATTATTTTATTAATATTCTCATGAAACTATTAGCTTCGGAGATAGGATACAACGATAGTAAGTTGAAAAAGAATAAAGAGTACGGTCGCCTGTGATATATGGCCATTTAATACCAAAGTCTGTGTCTCGCTACGACTGTACCATTACGTCAAAGCCAGCGGTCTATAAACCGTTCGTTGATGTCATATAGTCAGGGGATAGTCGATGCAAACTGGTGGATCATTCCCTATGCGGCTGAGGAGCATCTTCTACCCCTTGCTTCGAACTGCCGCTCTCTCGGTTCTGCCAATATTAACATGTCCGAGACAGCCCGAAGTAAGATGCGTATCTGCGGTGTGAAATCATATAATATGGAATTAAAAATCAGCAACTCTTATATACGAGGAATATATTTCATCCATAGTTTTATATACAGTTACATATCTCATCTCATATATCATCATCATGTACGAATTGCCTCGTGGAGGTATCCATAAGAGCTTATAAGATTACCTATTTTTGCGTTCGAGACGGACTGTCTTTGAGTCTCATATTCTTATGTCATAATTCCACCTCGTTCTCATATGCCCTTCACCTTTCCCCAAGACATACCATTTGATCATCTCATACTCTCCAGTCATGGCTACCTATATATACGCCTAACAATATCCGACGAGCTAATCCGTCCCATCCGACAGAACACAATTTCATGACCTCTCCTCGCCCTGAAGCCTCCTTCCTTCTACGGTATATATGTACCCTCAACCCGCAAGCTTGGGTCCACCAGAGGATGAAAGGAACTGAGAAACAAATGCCCATGACGGGAATAAAAATGGTCTAGGTGGTAGTGAATAAAAAGGGGAAAAGAGCTGTGGTATCTAAAGGTTCGTTTTTGCCTCCCGAAATGATATCCCCCGTTACGATACCTTCCACAAGACTTATATAAAGATAACGTATAATAGTAGGACACGAAAAAGTGCAATGAATTATGTGGACAGGTAGATAGGTAATAGATAGGGAGAGAATGAACGGGGTTAGACATGCATCAGGTATATAAATGTGAGCCATCCGCATCTATCCCATCCCCGAACTCTACAATTCCCGGTCTTTCTAACGTATAGCACATACAGCGCTAGCTTGCTGCATGTAGTCACGATTGTAAGCGTCATGACATCGTCGAGTCCCCCGGGAATAGCCATGTGCTATCGCCCGGGAAGTAGTCACCGAACCAGCTTAGCATCTCGGTGCTCTCGAAACTCGTGAGGTGCTGCCCGATATCCGTCTCGTTGTCGTAAGTTAGTAGGTGTAGGTTCGATGCCCCGCCAGGCCCTAGGTACGAGTACCCGCTGGACGCAAGTCCGCTACCGCTCTGCGCGAAGTTGGACGGCCCGCCCTCCGATGCGTTCGACGACTGCCCTCCGATGTTGTTCTGGCTCGGCGTGCTACTAGCTGGCGAGTCGTTTGTAGGGTAGCTGCTTGTTCCCGATTGATCGTAGCTCGTCGACTGCTGCGACGAAGGCGTATATAACGCCGGCGGAATATTCATGGAGACCTTGCTAGGGTCATCTTGACCAGATAGGCTCTCAAATCTCAGATACGAGGACTTGTTTTGAGTTGATGCACCTCCCGAAACTCGGCGAGGGTGGCTAATCGAGTGCCGCAAAGCCGAGGTGTTTGGCTGGGGATAAGCGGGATGATAAATAGGCGTGGTAGTCTCAGGAAGGCTCTGGCGTATAGGGTCATAAATCATGTTTCCAGGTGGAGTAGGTGCAGAGGTTGGCGCAGCGGATGTGGGGGCTGTCGACGAGATGACCGGAGAGGGCATGATGCCATTAGGATTGACCGGGTTTTGGAATAGAAGCGTCAAGCTCGAATTAGGAGAGTTCGTCGTACCCGTCAATGACCATGCGAGAGGAGGTCCGTTATCGGGAATTGGCGATGCGGGATAGTCTATTTTGTTTGCAAACCTACTGATAACGCAGGACTGGCGGTATCGTCTGGCACTCTCGTATTCTTCGATCGTGTATGTCTCGCAATCCCATTGGCCGTCCAACTTCTGGTCCAGGGCAGTGAGGATATATCGGACACCTCCCCAGTAAGTGTGCATCTGCTTCAAAGCTTTATAGCATGCTTGGTAGTTCTGGTTCGCAGCGGAGGCTAGGAGCAGATGCCGGGAAGCTGGACCCGAGTCGATCACAGCTGAGCCGCTCTTGTTTGTCTGACCTCTAGATTCGGGGGGCGGAGTTGTATCCCTCGAGCCGGGCTGCGACGAACTAGCTCTCGACTCCCTAAGAAACGCGCATGCTGCAATATAGATAGGTTGAGAAGTAAAGGGGTTACCGATGAAGCACTTCGGATCGACTAATTCGGCGAAGGCAAGGATGTCGGCGATCGTCTTCGCACTGGACATAGACAGTTCTCGACTATGCGTCTTTAACTGGTGCGCCCGGTTGATAGTACCCTCTTTCGTTAGCAACGTTGGCTGATGCAAGACGATGATCAACGCGTGGAACCAGAAGTGCAGGAGAATGAAAGTTGTTCCCTGACCATTTTTTACGTGAGCTTGGAAATTATTAGCATCAAACCGGAGGCGCGGGTCCGTCCTCTGATGAAGTCTTGTGAGTTCGATTTCCATTTGGGCAAGCTTGTTCATCTTGTCTTGCGTGAGGTCTTGAGCATGCGTAATATTATTGAGCACATCTGAGACACGGCCATAAAGATTAATAATCTGCAGCAGCGACGCGTTCGGATCAGGCCAGCCAGACATGGGATCAACAGAGGACCTTGGAAGCTGCAAATCGAAGTCGCTGTCTCGAAGAGAAACTGGTCGACCGGTGCCAGAGGAGATGGCACGGTCAAGGAAGAAGACAGCCCAAAATGTGTCGATACGTTCCTGTTCAACTTCCTTTTGTTCTTCTGGACTGAGGACGGTACCGTCTGCGCCCTGCTGGTGCTGCTGGGAATAATCTTCGCTCGACTTCCTATTGTAACCCCGCGCGTACCAAACATCTTTCTCGCCCTGATATCGCACGCCATCTTCTTTACATAGACCTAAGTCGATCGCCATACGAATTGCTATTCCCAAATACATCCATAGGGCGCTGTCCTGGTCGGCACCGAAACCGTCATACGCCATCAATAGGCACGCTTGGACAGCAGAGACTGTCGGGCATGGGAAAGTATCGACGGTAGCCGCCTTAGCTCGCTGAGCATAGATGTAGCCGTACTCCGATTTGACTAGCTTCCCTTCGTTCCATTTCCGGAACAATGGGTGGTCAGAAAACCGTGCTGCGAGAGCACATACAGCGTCTACTAATATCGGTTCTACTCGCTTCTCTTGAACTAATCTGGGAAACTTATCGCGCCGCAGAAAAGGGTAATTACTCCCCAAGTGAAGGAAGAATGTCTCGACGAGGTGGAGGATCAGCGGAGGTACGTCGTTTGTGTCGTTGGGATCGTAGACAGGCATGTCGTCCAAGTGGGTGAGTTCAATGTCTGGCTGCATAGAATTCATGATACCGGAGAACGTCGAACTCGCGCCGCTGGGCGAAGTAGCCGATATGGAGCTTCGCCTTCGATCTCGTACTTTGACTACCATCTGCTTGAAGCCCGGTACTATAGCGGTAGGGCCAAAGTAGCGAAAGTAAGGCACCCGGTGGCTCTCGTTGTGGAACTGGACTGGCGAATGGCCAGCCTCGCTAAAGCCGCCTTCGGTTGAGAAGGAAGGATTTCGCGGATTCGGCGGTCGACCCATGGGCTCGGGGCGCGGTGTTGGCTGCGAACTTGGCTCTTCCCAGTTTATATTTTCCGATTTCATTTGTATATCAGGGTTTGCAGAATCTTGAACAGGTTCGGACGCGCGGCGAGCAGATTTGGGAGAATCATCGGGTATATCGAACTGCTTAACTCCGCTTCGGTTATTTTTCAACTGCTTGCGATCGAGTTCCAAATCTTCGTCGGCGTATTCGTCTTCATCGGGACCACCATCTTTCTTGCCGCTCTTCTCGATACTATCCGAATACCCTAGACAGTCGTGTCCATTCTTGGTACATGTCGAACAGGTAGGATGTTCGCCGGCGCACCGTGTTTTTCGCCTGCGACAGGTGAGGCATCTGCCATCAAGAAACGGGTGTCAGCTGAGACGTTCGCGATGTCGCAACCCCTGAAGTCGGGACTGAATTGGCGGCGGGCCTGCGGGATTCCTGTGAGGATCATGACGAAGAACATAAGAAAAGGAACCAAAAGAAAAGAGTCGTCAATTACCCCCGGCGTAATCTACGGTTCAGTCCCTTCCCCCGGGTCCTCCCAGATTGGACAAAGGAATTCAACGATACTTACGCAGCGTTTATCCTTCTCCTCTTGGTTGGTGGTTGGCCCTGGTTATTGACGAAGCGAATCTGCTTAGGCGCCGGCAGCGGATCGGGTCCGTTGCTGTTGAGGAGGGTCACCATGACGGCGGTAATGGTCCGGGAGCCGGAACGGTTATGACGGTAATAACGATAAATAATAAATAACTATAATATAAATATAAAAAAAGACAAGAATAAGAACAGTAACCGTAAACCTTATGAGCACGAGCTGTGTGTGTTAGGAGCCTCGAGCTGCAAAGAAAGACGAAACTCTACGGTGGCGGGCAACCCCAATGCTCGACGTAAAGGTTCTAGGTCTCCATGGACGAGAACGTGCTCTTAATTTTTTTGTGGATGCTTTCGTATCTTTCACTCTCACGCGCACACATATGCCAAATGGTGGGGTTTGTCTTTTTCTGTTAATGGACCATTCCGCTATTATATGACAGTAGCGCCGCACGAAGTAAGATAGAAAAAGAAAGCCCAAATTCGCTAGTATAAGAAAAAAACGCGATGTTCTTAGAAACTAGGGATTAGGAGATGGACTAAGAAGCAGTAGTTTTGGGGCTCGGAGCTTTTGGGTCTGGGCAGACCTGGAAAGCCTGGGGGAAGGAACCGGGGGCTATGTAGTAACGTAAGAAGGTAAGATGGTAGAAGGAATCCTCCGCTGCGGGTTTAATGTCGTACGAAAAATATAGATCACGGAACTTGTTAGCGAAGGAAATAGCGAGCCAACGGGATTGAGCTAGTTTAGGTAAACTTTATTTTTTTCCTTTTTTTCGTAGTTGTTGCCCGCGTGCGTGGTTTGGGTTTTCTTAGTCGGGTGCGATTGTACCTCAGCTGAATTCAATGGAGTCCAAGTAGTTGAATGGATGAAGGTGCAAGGTGCGCGCGCATTAGTTGGCTATCACACCGCGAATGTGAATGTGGGGATGAAGGCGAGAGCAGTGACGAGGGGCTGAATGCAACACCTTTTAGAGGGGCCAGCTCAACAATCATTGCTTCTACCGAATACCTTCATTCCAACAAGCTTCTCGCTGAAGCCATAATCTCCCGAAGAAAGTAGAAAACAGAAAGAAGCAACTAATGAAAACAAATAAAAGCTAATAAAATCCAAGTCGGTGTATAATAATGATACCGCAGCTAAAGTCGCGAGACAATGCGTACGTAACCGGGACCGCCGGGAATAATCGAGACGTAGGTAGGAAGAGAGTTGCCGATAGCTACAACTTGATGCATGTACATATGCTAAGGTACCTAAGGTTAATAATAACGATACAGTGAGAATCCAGAATCCAAAAGTCGAAGTTGGAGTCGCGTTGTTTTTGTAAGTCGGGTCTATCGAATTTTGGGGAATCGCTAATAATAAGAACGCCAGGACCAAAGCTGGATCCAATATGGTGGGAATGCGGAAAATATCTAAGAGTTATGTGGGCTGGGTGGCTAGGCTGGGCTAGGGAGAAGTCGTCAAGAATATTAATTAATAAGATGACAGGATGGGAGCCAAGCTTAACAATGGATGGTGGTTATGATCGACTTTGAGATTTGCGGGACCGCGGGGTCTGACAGATACAACGTGGTCTGCGTGAACATCCATGTGTACCTAGAGACAATACATAAGAAAGGGGGGGTATTTGACGGGATAGAACGGCTTCGCTTCGTGGTATTAGTTACATACAAAGAATATTAATAGGTGCTTATTATAGAGATATGAATAACACGTGTATAACTATCTTAAGTATACATTACGGATATAAGCTACTACATATGGATCTGACTCGATATATAAACGTACTTCTTTAAGTAGACTAAGGAGACTTTTAGTGATCTACCTATCTGACGATGTTACCCCCCCAGAATAAAGAATAAACGGGATAAAAAAGAAAAGAAAAAACCCGCCCCCTCTCATACACCAGAGTCCAGACGCCCCTCATCGGATACTAAGATACTTCCATCTCATCTCATCTCATCATCAATTACGCCCCCCCTGTATCTTCTACCCTATCTTACCCCATAGACAAGCTTGACGTATGATAACCTTACTATATAAATTTGGTAAATCAATTGGTCTTCTCATCCTACTATTAACGACAAGCAAAGCTCAAAACTCTCTTACACGAAGATAAGACTTGAATTGAATTGCATTTCGATCCTGGCTTGTGGCACCTAATACTATACGATATTATTATCAAAACGTAACGTACGTACACGCCGTTCGTCGCTTGGTCCGACGGCCTTCACCCATCTAGCCTTAGGTAGGTAGCTTGGTTGGGTAACATTGGTGGCAGCCGGATATGATTCCGTATTTATCTGGGGAATACTGCAGCGTCTCCTTTCGCGTCTGGTTATAATGACCTTAAATCTGCTATCATCCGTACTGGCTGGTTGGATCGTTGGCCTCCTCCGATTGACTTGACGCATAAGCAACCCCCCCAAATCCATCACACGGCAGATCGGTAGAAGCCTGAAGGATGCTACCCTTGGTAACCCAAGCTACCTACCCATGGCATTTTTGTGCGCAATTCGGGGATTCCCACATGCGAATCAACCATCGTTGATATTAGTGATATTGGTATCAGTAGAGGGCTTGGCCGACCGCTTGGTACGGTGGTGCCACCGCGAGAGCCCGCCCACGCATTGGAACACGCAAGAGCCAAGAATATGAATATGCAAGAAATTCAGAGATATTGCAGATATTGAGGCACTTATAATATTCAAATAAGCGTTGACATCAGATGGAACATCATCTCGTCCTCCCCTTGTGTTGAAGGTATTTCCTGCCAGCATAATGTCCCACGCAAAACGACGGCACCAGGTCTGAAGGCCCGGGGCATTGTCTCCAGAGAGATGGCCCGTATAGATAATAGCCTAAAAATGTTGTAGACGAAACCAAATCCCTACATCAACTCCCAAGCTCCTTGTCTTTTCTAAAAGCCGGTGCTATACCCGTATCAGTCCCAAGGGTGTCAAGCCATTAAAGTACCTTCCTCGTCTCCTCCCTCTCTCGCTCGATTAGTGCAGGGTGTTGGTTACACGAATCCGTATGGTCGTCTGCATCTAGCCACTTTGAAGTATTCAGTGATTTGTCCCTATATTCCTAAGAAACAGTATCACAAGCTACAGCGAGGCCATGTATAGGCAGGTGAGGGCACTGTCCATTTCTAAGCGTTCGGCTGGTTACGATGTTTGAAGAGTGTGCCTCTGTTCATCCATCAATTTGATAGAATGAATTAACAAGTCGCCCCCGGCAAGGGGACGGGGTTAGCTTGATAGTAATCGATCAATGGCGCCCATACCTCGCGACGCCGTTACAACCCTATCTCGAATGTTTGACAGGCTCCGATGTCAGCCAAAAACGATACTGACTCCCATCTCGGCGCTAATCTGCCTCCATAAATCGGAACCATAAAGTCCAGAGGAATCGTCGTTTATATCATCCAACCTTTTCCAGACTTCTTGGACGATATTCCAAGCCTGGCCTATGTTGGTCATACCTTGGCGCTGATCAATCCCGACAAACGCCTCCTGGGCGAGTGCCCTGTCTTCTGCGCTTACCGCCTCGCACGCGGCTACAAACAAAGGCCACAACAACGCCCCCATAGGTCCTCGATGAGTGACTGTTCCAACGCAATGTATGAGTGCCACGTGGGCATGCTTTTGTACCACCTCACGACGTGGCGAGTACCCATATATAGTACGATAAAGATATACAAATGCGCTATGACGGTAGGCTAGGGAGTTGTGCAGGGTGGATTGGAGGCGTTGTTGCTCTGGAATCTCTTCTCGACCGCCAGAGCCTCTCAGCACTCCATTCTCAATAATGACATTTGGGGGGAGAAATGGTTCCCATTGCGTCAGAGCGGTCTCGATAGCCTGCGAAGTAGTTTCAAACTCCATTCTGAGGACAGCGCTTTTGGAGGTTTGATTTTCTTGGCATGCTTTTTCGATATCGTTCTTGAGAGAGAGCAGGTTAGATAGCCGATGCATAATAGGCCACAGGGTAGTAGCCATTCCAAGTAAGCTATCGACGTTGCTGAGAGGAGACACCGCTGGAGCGTCCAAGGGAGGAAATGGTACAAGACAGCCAGCAGCTGGAGCCGTTGAAAGAGGGGCCGATCCTAAAGAGAGGGCCGTAATAACATCGTAGAATCGGAAAGCCTTTGTCTTATTAGTACAGTATAATCGTCTAGGACCTGATGACGGTAACCTACACGTTCCAAGAAGAGGCCGGCGGGTGTGGACTCTTCTTGGGAAGAAGACATGATAGTCAGGGCTCCCTTGAGATGTCCGTCTACTATACTTGTCCGCCCACGCTGGACAAGCTGCAAATTGGTAAGCTCGTGTCACGTAGATCTCACATTGACTATACAGATACTTACTACTTCGTAGTACACTAATAGCATGATGGCCGCAAGGAGTTCAGTCTTATCAACCTTCCCTTCCTGCTCAATTAACCTAGCCAAACCTTGAATAGCTCGATTGTGAAAGTATAGCGACTTTTCTGGTGTTGAAATCCCGCGGTACTCCAAGTGGGCGCTTGCTAGTGCGTATACGGCATTCATAATAGGGGCGCTTTTAGAGGAGAGCGGCAAGACCAACTGTTGGAACGGATTACCGGACTCCTCCCGGAAGACTATCAAGTGTGACAGAACATTGCAGAAGTGGTCGACCAGGGCGCGCCGATTGGGACGATCCGAAAACTCTGAGAATACTGGCAGGACAAATTCGAGCGTTGGGGAGCCGACGGGGCAAGGAGCAATCATAGCGAGGTCTGGCTGCAGAGATCGCGCCTGGGAGACCACATTGATGCTTGAATTCCTCCGCACCACCTCCTGTACTTGATCCCCATTATCTGCACCGTCGTATTCGTAAGCCGTAGGGCTGACATCGACTGGGGATAGCGCACTTTCACTAAAGCTCATTGGAGACATGTCGTTAAACTTGGTATCTATAGGACTGAGGCAATCAGACTCGGAAACACCATCAGCCGTAGCCTCTTGCCACTGATCATCATCTGGGATAGGTTCGCGCGCCCTCCCGTAATCTTGTGTAAATCCAGAATGCGAAGGATTCTTCTTTCTCCGTTGGCGCGGTCTCACTGCCTCGTAAGTGCATTGAAGATCCTTTTCGATGCATCGTGCACATCGCGGTAGTTTCTCATCGCATTTCTTCTTCTATTCCCCCGCAAAGTAAATCAGAACAGCTCTTCAACTCAGGTGTATAGTAAACAAGTTGGTTTATAGGATGGGAGTCGTACTTTCTCTTTGCTGCATTTATATCGAAAAATTAGCAATTTCGGCGACAGACGAGCGAGAAACGAAGATCAAGACATCACATACCAAAAGGTGCAACCTATCAAACCGAATTTACAATCAGCTTCGAGTCTGAGGCAGAGAAGGAATTGAGTAGGGAAAGGGGGGCTATGGAAGCTAACTGACCTGCTCGAGAACGCCTCTTCGGCACCTTCGGGGGCGCGACTTTAGTGTATAGCAACATATCGCCAGCTAGCAACAAGCTATACTATGATTCCTTCATATTTCATATCGTGTCTCGTAGCTTGTCGTAATACCCCCCACACGGACTCATTACCCCTCAGATTAGATGCTGCTCAAGCCAGAATGGCTGAGGCGTTATTCTATCGTCTGTGTACCCAACAATCTGAGATTAGAGCAGTATGAGATATAGTAACAGAGTAGATTGAGAGATTGGTTAGAGGAGATGGTGAATAGAAAGGAACGGGGTAGAAAGAAACAACAACCTAGGTAACATAGTCCGATCTCAGTTTTCGGCCATCATCGTGACGTTGTGGAGAAAAATGCAGGTCCGTAGCCTAGTCAAGAAGGACGGTGACCGGAGACGGGTTCCGAAACGGGTAGAAATGAAGACATCTGACAGTTGGAGTCCTTACCTAGGTACCTAGGCATTTCGGAAATGAAGTCTAGAACTACTAGAAGCCCCAGGGTTAGTGCAGTACCTGTAGCAGATCCAAGTTCTAAATAGACCAGGGCTGCTATGTAAGAGAGCCAGGATGGAAACCCATCACGAAGCAAATGTGGAGAAATTTGACGATCGACAGAATCAGCTTGCGGGGTTGCGGTTTCTGTAGGTACATATTGAAGTGATCCTTTCGCTTGATTCTTCTTGACGATGAACCCACAGTCAGAGCCAGTCTAGAGCTACCAGGGCAAACCCAAGACCTTGTTACATAATAGTCCCGACGAGGAAGATAGAGATAGAGGAAAAGGTCAAGCCTAAAATCGACGGAGACCCGAATTGAGCCTCACTTATTATCCTGAATTAAATAAACGCCCTTGTCTGGTCGATACTTATACCTCGTGACTCCGGCACACGTTACGGGCGAGCTCGAAAAGAGTTGCTTTACGGAGCAGCACTTGTACCAACCGTACACAGTAGAAAGGATGCCACCTCCTATCGAGACGAGATGATTAATAACACGGACGGAAAAGGAAGATATGAAAGGAGAGGCGGCCGTCTATTTCCGACCTCTACGGATTAATGCAGCAGAGTACCACCTAGTTATACAGAACTCATTCATCTTGAATTCTATAAGACACAATACGTCTGATTCAGGGTGATTGGCTGTCTGTACCTAACCGCTAGATAAATACTTACCTACCTCCTATGTATCTAACCGACCTACTTTAGCAGCTCGCTAGACTAGACCTTGGGCTAGTGTCACCATCACGAGGTTTGAAGCTGGCGTGATGAAGATGGGGCATGATACTAATACTTGTATCGTTTTGTAAGTCGGAACAAGCCGTCTTGTTATCTATAAATTCTTGATGGTTAATAAACCGATTGCAATTTGAGTAACACACTTCTTCAAGAAAGTATAACAGGTAGTCAATATATCTAATGTAAATATAGTACGGAGTCTTCGCGGCGAATAATATGTTGTTTAATTAGTCCATGCTCGTCTCTGCCAATGCTTAAATATAGAAATAGAAGTAGAAATAGAGTCTTACATTATACTACTGTGTTTTATCGGTCGCACAAGTGAACCTAAGAAAAAGTTGGGGTATTTCCTTGCTACGAGAATGTCTCGGGTATTTATCCCGTTATTCCATGAATGATTATTCGACGCTCAAGCCATTGTGCGACCACGCAGACGTGAGAATGTGGCACAATCCAGTTACCAATTACCTCAGCAGCCTCCATTGCCCTAACTAACTTCGATTAGCAGGCTATCTAGGACCTAAGTAATGACTAACTAGCGCCTAGGTCATGTTAGGTACATCTTTCTAAACTTTCATCTCATCCATCATCTTACTGTCTACCATCTACTCAACAATCAATCGCGTATATTTCATCAGTGTAATACCGCATATCGCCAGAACAGGTTATAAATCCAGGCTATCGGCATTCTTCTGCCATGCTACACGCATGTTAATAAACACCAAGCCATCAGCCCTAGGACAAGGTCACCTGCAAGTAAAAGACCACATCTGAGACCCTATTTAAGACCAGATGCTCCCCGGTCGCGCGAAGTTGATAGGCTTTTAACTCGATAGGCTTTAACAAGCCGGTATCTAGTAAGACATCGTCACATACGTAAGTAGGTCTTGGCCCGTTATAAGGCTTAGCATATATTATAGGATCTGGGGTAAACCGGCAAGAGTTCATCTATCAAAACTGCTCACCATGCTGGTTATAGCCATTCAACGCGAACAAACAGACGCCTGCAACGCGCAAATGCTTATCTAGGTAGGTAGGCAGAGAAGTCGTACATACCAAGTCGTACGTACTAGAAGTAGCGGACATCCATATTTCCTATATTATACATTTGACCCAATCATGAGCGTCCCGAAATCGACCCCTCGAATCCTCGCGGCCGGGATGTGCATTTCTTGGGGGCCAGCCATGCAGCTGGGGAAGCTGACGTTACACCTACGAGACACACTCATCAAGTTGAATGGCGAGTTCTCCATCTGCACCTGATAGAATGGATAGAACTAACTGCAGTTGGAAAACTCCATCCCGCTTTTTGCTGCAGGTCAGCGGCCAAGACACCAGCGAATATCTTTTGACCTCCACCTCAGAATCCCATCTCGACATGTCCATTCCCCTCAACCCTTGTCTCAACCCTTGTCGTCCCAGAAGCGTATCGTGTCGATCGACTCTCTTCTTAGTTTCTCACTTGGCGTGTTCATGACTACAGTCTGATGGGACCATCACGATCTTGGTGATAGGCCTTTTAGAGAGTGCTATTTTTGAGAGGTGCCAGCTCGTAAGCCAGCATCCAAGTAGTGCTTACTTGCCACCATCGAATCTTTTCCTACCAGCCTACCAACGTGGCCCTGTACTAACAGAGCCTCAGCTTTGCAATTTGTGGTTTTTTTTTCTCTACCTCTTATCTTCAGTTATATCCGTGTGATTCTTGGTTACTACTCTGTAGAAAGGCAATCTTTTACGCGAGTCATCCGTCACAAAGTCAAAAGTTAAGCACACTTACATGAGTCCCCTCGAGGTGCTACGAGACGAGAGGCCAGGTGCCGAAGCTCTAAATCTGGTGAAATCTCACGCATTTAGGAGTTTTCTTGGGGTATCTGGTAGTCGAAAACGTCGAATCTGAAAAGCCTCACAATGGGTAGACTTCGAAATTGCGTGGGCTGCATTGGGTTGGTGGGTTTGGCAGTTCTAACTCCAACCGCGACCGCTATGGAGGACGATCGATACCAGATCCACCAGTTAGAAAAGAATCATAACATCTTGCGCCACCCAAAACGCGAAGCGACTTGCCAACAATCAGGTTTTACTCTATGTCCCGCTTCTGCAGATGGTGGATGCTGTCCCGAAAATTACGCCTGTGCCATATCCTCCTGTTATGCCACAACGGCGGGACCTACGTCCGCATGTGGAACAACAGGATATTATAGCTGTCCAGTCACAGCTGGTGTAGGTAAGTCAACCAACCCAAGGCATCTGTCTGAAGTCATATAAATACTTATATCCTCGCGCAGGAGCCTGTTGTCCCGTGGGTTTTCTTTGCGGGAGCGACACAGAGGACTGCTTGCCGCCGGCCGGAGTATCATATTCGCAATCATGCCCGTCGTCGTGGTTTGGTTGCGCAGCTTCTCTTGGGTACGGTTGTTGCCCAGACGGAATGGTCTGCGGAAGCGCTACTTGTTATGGAACCTCCCTAAAAACGCTTCCAGTAAGCGAAACGGTAACCACTACTAACTCCGAGGGGAATACTATTACAACAATGGTCACGATCTCTTCAGTCATTTCCCCGGGCCCGGATCCTTCGGATACATCGTCTGCTACAGCCGCTGGCGTAGCAAAGTTAATTCCCAGTACTGTTTCTAAGTTGCCAGCTCTCGAGACTAGTAGCGGCGGTGGTAGCGGTGGCAACGGTCTCAGTGAAGCTGAAATTGGTGGTATAGTTGGGGGTGCTATCGCATTGCTGGCTGTCATAATCGTCATCGCCGTAGTTATCATATGGCGGCTTAAACGGACGGAGAAAGCTGCTAAAGCCGCGGCAAAGTCCAGACATGGAGACTCAAGCGGCGTACCGCGCTCGCAGAAATCGGGCTATGGACAATTATCAATATCAGAAGTCGACGGTACAGATGTGGATTCTATTATGCGGACCCGGAACGCCCACTTTCGAGCCCGATCCGACTCGTCTACCGTGGGCGAGCAATCCCGTTCGGAGACGCCAAACTACTATGGCTCCAATGCTTCCGCGACGCCGCCTGCTTGGCCCGGATATTTCCCCCAGCTTCCGGGATCTGACGCATCAGACGGCCGTCAGTCAAGCCTAGATTCCTATGGCGCACGTCACGATAACGGGTTGTTTCCGGCACGACCCAGCGTCGACTCGGAGGCACCTCGTACGCACGTGCGCAAATGGAGCGACGCGAGCGAATTGGACGGCAGTATTGTCGGCGCACATGGCGTATCAGAATTAGCCAGTCCTGACTCCCTCGAGGCGACAAGGCGGCGGTCTAACAGCTCAACGCGCCCTCCCAGGGCCCAAGTCAGACGGTCCAGCGACCCATCAGGGAACTCGCGAGTAACGCGTGGCGAGGGCGTGACACCGACAACAGCCCCCCTAGGAACGCTTACCGAGATTGCCGAACTACACGGATATTATGGATCTCCAGATATCGCAGTTGGCCAAACTGCCGCAAAGCTCAATCATAAGAATTCGACTATTAGCTCATCACCGGGGTATGACACATAAATACATTGTACTACGACGCTACCTTATATGACTGAAGTCCAAATATCCATCACGGGGCATGGACGGCTTATAGGAATATAGAATGTACACATGAGAGTATATTGTCGCTAGGCTTGTATCGGCCGATGTGTTAAAATGGGAGGTTGCTCTATACCGCTTTTTCTACTGTCTTTGGGTGGGAGGAGCTTGTACGGCGTTTATCGGTTATACCCACACGATCTTACTCTTATTTTACGTACTCCCTATACAATCCTAGGACGGGAACTCGGCGCTGATGGAAAATTGCTTGGGTCGTTCATACTGGGGATGGATGGATATTAGCATGGCGCATGCATATGGTGGGCCCTTCTCTCATTAATATACCTATTCATCTTGGGCGAAGCATTCTGTCATGTTCATGTCTTACAGAAGTAAAATCGAATTCATTAATACTTCCATAGGTTGTATGACTTATGTACTAAAGAACAAGCTTGTGCCATGCCAGACTACCTGAGCATAGCCTCCTATGACAGCAAAGTAGGACTTAGCACAAGCTCACATTCTAACGTTCCTTTCCTTGTTATCCACCAGCCCCCAAGTTCTGAATAGTAAGTACCTACGACTCAATCTCAGTGGGGGCAACCTTCTCATCGGCGATTACACCAGCCTCGTTACCGCTCTCTTCGTCGACACCAGTGCGTTGGTGTGTCAGCCCAATCTCAGTCGTCGAAAACGCATCCGCGGGATCCCTATACGCGGGGATGAAGTTAACGGCGAGAGCATAGGATAAGGCTGCGACGAAGAAGCACAGGGGGACGAGCATAGCAAACGCTGTCTGGCGCGCATCGGCTGCGACACCAGTCAACGGAGGCACACACGCACCACCCATCACTCCTGCTACAAGCCATCCGGAGCCGCGCTTCGTGTGACGACCCAATCCGCGCATACCTAATGCGATGATTGTTGGGAAACAGATGGATTCGAAGAACAGCGTCACGTATAGCATCGACATACCCGTCCAGCCACGCTCTGTGATAGACGGTGCGATGAACACAACACACAAAGTTAGGAAGGCTAGGAACACCCAGCGCGGGCGGATATATCGCATCAAGATCACACCGAAGAAGCGACCCCCGGCAAAGCCACCCTGGGCGCCGGCAAGTAGGCGTGAAGCGGTGGCATCATCGGCAAGGGGTTGGGTATCGCGTACGTAGTTGATGAAATAGCTGGCGATGGCGATCTGAGCGCCGGTGTAACAGAACTGAGCGAATGCGGCGTGGAAGAGTCGGTACTGCTTCCAAAAGGACTTATCGTCAGCGTTGGCATGAGTCTCGTTGGCTTGGTATGCCATGTCGGCATCGGTAATCTCGGGAATATCGGAGAGAAAGAAGGCAAAGGCGAGCACGAATACGAAGATGGCAATCGCAATATACACCCATTGCACATTTCGTAATGCCGTCACGTCGTCGAACGTGAAAAAGACGTACGAGCCCAACACGGGGGCTACTACGGTGCCAATACCGTTGAAGGCCTGAGATATATTGATGCGTATCTCAGCATATCGAGGCGGGCCGCAGACTTTTCATATATGTAAGTATAGGTACCTAATCATCATCCATAATAGAGCTGTAGGACCTACCGGTGATGTACGGGTTCGCAGCGGTCTCGAGGGAACCAAGGCCATTGCCAATAACGAAGATGGCCATGCAGAACCCAGCGAAAGACTTCGCCTGGATACATGGGAAGGCGATCAACGCACCGATACCTATAGCACTTGTAGTCAGTCGAGACGAGTTCATACTCTGATATTTATGTATGTGTATATACAAAAGGTGTTACGTACCATATAGACATAAACCCCATATGAACGTAGCCCGATAACCATAGTGACGCAAGATCCAGTTGGCATGACCGAGCGAGGCGAGAGGATAGGCGCTGCGCTATATGGTTAGCGATGGTTCCGCACGTGTCTCCCATGCGAGGTAGACGTACCCGAAGTATGCGGCTTGTAGACCGGACGAGCGCGACTTAGTAACACCAAGAGTGTTTTGGAAATGCTTGTTCAGAGTATCGAGAAGGCCTAGTTACAACGAGTTAGCAAGGATGCCACGCGCCATCGTATACGTGTATAACCAAGCACTAATTGTTGCGCAAAAAAAGAAAAAAAAAAAAAAAAAAAGGTTATCGTTACATACCGTAACTAAATCCCCAGAGGAAGAATAGAACCGTTACTAGGCAGATGGGATAGAGCGACTCTCGGAGAGTCAGTTCGGCGGCCTTGGTGCGCCTGTCGTCCCTAGCTCGAAGAGAGCGTCGCTTGACGAACTCCTTGAAGCCCATCTTGCCAATCCGCGAACCGGCGTACTATAAAAAAACGCTCGAGGAAGCGATCTTGGCAAGACTATAAGTGGTCACGGGTGTCACGGTAGGAATTGTGTCCCCTACGGAGGTAAATTGGTGGATGGTGGACGGTGTCTTGAGCCGAGAACTCGGGAGTTGTCTTGACGAAGGAGCAAGCACCCTACTATTTATTTTAATATAAATTATCAGCTCCTTAGGGGTCCCGGCGTCTTTTCCCACGCCCGCTTACATAGGCGGTCACGGTTGAAGGGCGGTGCTACTTTGATACCTACCTAATACCTAATACCTGGCCTAATACCTGACACCTGATATCTTAGCAACCACCGCTGTTGCTAGTGTAATTCCCCCATTCAGGCTAGCCCCCAAGAGGCTAAGGAATCCGGGGGTTTAGGGTGTGGAGAGAGCCCCGAACCCCCTTTGGAGTTCTGTGGAGTTGTGGAGTGTGGAGAGGCCGCAATTAGCCCGAGGCCCGAACCTTTCTCTTCATAGTATAGTGCGATGAGGGAACGGTACCTACTTGGGATCAGACAGGCTACCTAGGAATACTAACCTAAATATGATTTTTAGGAAAAAAGCCGTCATGGCAGCGAAGGGTCTTAGTGTAGGTTAGTCGATCCTTCTTGTAGATCGCATTATCTTATTGGCTAACGTCCCTGCCGTGTCTTACATTATGCCGTACAACCCTCCATCTTAAACTTATATCCCTGGAAGTCTTCTTCCATGCAGCTGCCATGTTTCCAAGAACCTGACCAAGAACCTGACCCTCAAAAGTAAGGCTAATGGCAATTACGACAGCACGTCCCCATTCATGCGATCTAACTAACTATGTCCTTAGCTAAGGAGACATTTTCCTATTATAGACAATTAGATAATAGTTGCACGTATCAGATAATTTAGTGTCATCGTGAAAATAGATAACTCCACCTCGTCGGTCAATCGTTGGTAATAGAAAGAAAGGAGTCCAAGGCAATACCAAATCATAATACCGCCGGGAGTTCCACTATCCCCCCAACTTGCTACTAGTATCTGGGCGTGAAACTGCGTCAATGACGCCGGCTTCCCCGACATGCTTCGCAACCCCTCTCTAGTCTCCTCATGATGGTTCTGCTGATCATAGAAGGTCAATTGGAGAAGCTTGGCTCGGGACATAGAACAGGTGCAACGCGGCAACATCCGTAAAAGTTTGTCGGTGTCCAGCTACATGTACGTAATATCTGCATCAAACACATGGGAATAAATTACCTCAAAAAACACATCTCTCTTAGAAATGAGACGATTTTCATGATAGTGATACTGATACTGAAACACTAAAAAACTAAAAAACTAAAGCACTGTCACTTCGAGTTCAAAGGAAGACTTAACGGCGTAAATATTTCGTACAAGTTCACTTCACTATCAAATTTAAAGGCTCTTAATATACTTTAATAAGCATGAATCTTATATCGTGAAAGAGCTATACTTGGTAATTATTAGGACAGCGAAGTTGTTTCCATGCCTTGGTTCCACCTCGTAATACCCACCTACCTATTAATAACGCATCGTACGAGCTATAAAAGAAAAGGTGACGATAAATCCATAATTGAATAAGAATTTTCTATCGTAAACAAGTGCTTAATATACGATTATCTACAAACATGTTTGCTACTGAGGTGGTTGATTAGTATTTATGTTATTATTGGAAGAGTCTGGAAGTTTACCTCCCTACGGCCCTGCCTAGGCACCTATATTAGAAGAAACATATTACAGATAACCGCTACTCTACCAAATATTCCCAGACTTTTGGTAACAATACGGTTTCTTCTTCTTCTTCAATCATTTGACTCCATAAATCTAACGAATAGATTTTTTTTCCCCTGAATCGAATCGCTAGCCGCGCCTCGATAATTATTTCCCCCTGGGTATTACCTCCACGTCATATCTGTCAGGATTAATGCCCAGTGAAATTAGTAATACACAGAGTTAGTGTCTAGGGTAGGTAGACCAACTGATAGATATATTGAACTAATAACGCCTGGCCTTCTATCTAACTGGGGCGCTTCGCGCCTCTTATATATAGTAGATAGACCCCTGTAGCAACCCTGACCCACCATCCCCTGACAATATCACAAAATCCATTGCTAATGTTTACTTTGGCGAATTGTCAATTTTTGAAAAAGACTGACTGCCTACTCTATTTTCTGATTTCGTTACTATGGAGTGTTCCTCAGGGAACTACCTAGGTATCATTAGGAAACTTATTGATCAAGGTTATTCCTCATATAAGTAGGTGACTGTCACTCATCTAGGAAGCATGTTCAAGATGCCCGGTGCGCTATTCACATGATAATAAGCTACCTTCTCACCTCCATGCTTACCAGCCGCTGGATACTAAGAGCTTAAAAAGGCACATTAGCCTCCGGACATTCGAAGTTGGTGTAGCCGTGGCAGCTTAGGAAGCCGTTCTTCACATATAGGAGGTTGTCTAAAATCAAAGGTCAGCATTGGTGCCTGGCTCCATTCACTAAACCCTAACCGAACTTACCCAGCTGGACTGCGGTCTCTTGTGTTCCGCCGCCGTTGTGGTCGCCTTTTGCGCAGGTACAGGCCAGCATATTCGAACCACGAGACGCGTATAAGACGCATCTATCGCATGAATCCAGGAAGTGGCCCATCCTCTGAGGGCGTATGTTTCCCCCGTCATTAATATAACACCTTTAGTTATCAGTATGCATAGGATTGTTCGGATTAAGGGGTATTTGGGAGTGGTGTCATTTCCTTACATGCTGAGGTCTAGGAAAGAGCAGCGTGATGCATGAGCATCGTTGTACAAGCCGCCGCAGGTGCCTCGAAGGTAATAAATGCCGGGCCTAGTTTGAGACTGAACTAGTCCTAGGCTGTCGCTATCGCACTGGAGGCGAAAATCTTTCAGGGGCGTGCCGTTGCCGATGCTGAGGACAGAGTTGGCGGAAGAGATAGAGGAGGTTGTGGATCCGCTGGGGTAGGGAGGAAAAGACATAGTCGGGAAATGAGAGAAAGACTCGGTCGGTAATCCGGTCTGAGACGTGTTCGGGTAGGGATTGAAAGACTCGCTCGAGGTCTTAACCAGAGTCTCGCCAGGGGTAGCGTGGCCTTGATGGACTTCGGCCACCGCAGACGCCAAAGAGGCGACGAAGAAGAAGACGAGGGTGATCCAAACAGTAGTGGACTGCATATTGAAGAAATTTCGAATGATTAAATTAACTTGGGTGTCGACTCTGAATTGTTGTTGATTCCTTGATCGAGTACAATTAGGAAATTGGATGGGAGAGAATACGACAACTACATTGAAGAAGCTTGGGTTTGAATTATAGATATTTACGGTAGGACTAGTACTACCTAAATGTACGCGATTGCCTTTGAAAACAGCTTCCGTCGTGTAACTTTTAAATGTATCCCTCTCATAATTAATTTGGCAGTGCCTTAGCCGCTGTAGGTGGAATTAAACGGGAAACCACTTCATCTTCTATCACTTACCTGATACCTTAGGTTCCTAACTTTCCAATATTTCTATATCTTATTTACCTCCTACCCAAAGTACGTCCCTACGTGAAGCTGATAATAGGTCACTTGAGAATATAAATCCTTTTCTCATCTTACCTAGGTACCCAAGTACCTAAATCAGGAGACTGTATTTTTCGAAGTTTCGTGAATAATGCATACAACGCCAAAATCTCTGGGGTAGGACATACTGATTGTTTGTATCACATTAAATCGTTCTGTCGTAGCATATGTCCCAGCCCGTGGAGTTTGGCGGCGATAAGCCCGAAAAAAAAAAAAAGCCCAAGACTTGGGCTTATCGCCGCCAAATTCAAGTCAGATACGATCCTCAAAATACGATCCTCAAAACCCGAGTTATTAATTATTCCGGGTGGTGGCAGATACACATTCGAGACAGCATCTACTACATTCTAATTGCAATAATGATACCGTATGATAGATTCGAGAAGTACATAATGTGTAGAGAATTGACACCTATCCGGGTGCTTAAAGAAGGGTAGGTTGCCTTTGAAGCCCGTTGGTTACCAGGTACCTAACATAATGTTAGCCGCATCGCGGTTAAATGGCATCTAATACCCGATTTAACATGTGGTTCCTTTACCCGTTCTTAGTGGTCCAAAGCGCTAAGCGGCGAGGCTTGATGGATAATGTGCTGTGGCTTAAGCAGACTTATCGGCGAATCAACACCCGAAATATTCTCTAAAGAATCCTTATCGACCCGCTTTGATAGGTTTTCTCCGTCCTTCCGCCCCACTCTATCCGCCATCTTCCGGCCAAATTGTTAATTCTTTTTTTCTAAAGTCAACACACACGACGGCTTCTTCTTGTTCCTCCACTCCTAAAAAGCCTCAAAGCAGCACAAATCCTTGACCAAGGCATAACCAATTGGGCCTCTTTTGTGTACGACTTGACTATCCGTCGTCACCTCCTCTCAACTCTCCTCTCAATCTTTTTTTTTTCTTTTCCATTTTCGTCTCCGCCCAGTATTCACAATGGCTGCCGCGAAGCCTGTTAATGCGCCTGCTCAGGACAGCAGTCTTTCTCTTTACTCCAAATTTGCCCTTGCCGGCGCTATCTGCTGCTCCGTCACCCACGGATCGCTCACCCCCGTCGATGTGTAGGTGTTATGGTCCTTTTCCCCCTTTGTTGGCATACCTCCGAGCCCACGGCACTCGAACTACAGCTCGTTCCACTTACTCTCCGGCTATAATTATACGGGCGAACTTCTTCAGCTAATACGGATCATATACAGCGTGAAGACAAGAATCCAACTTGACCCCGTCACATATAACAAAGGTCTCATTGGCGGTATCCGTCAGGTCGTCAAAAATGAGGGTGCTGGTGCCCTTCTGACCGGTGTCGGCCCTACCTTCGCTGGATACTTCCTCCAGGGCGCCTTCAAGTTCGGTGGATATGAATTCTTCAAGCAGCAATCGATCAACATTCTCGGTTATGAGAATGCCTCGCAATACCGAACCGGCGTTTACCTTGTCTCGTCCGCGTTCGCCGAGTTCTTCGCCGACATTGCCCTCTGCCCTCTCGAGGCCACCCGTATCCGTCTCGTTTCCGAACCTACTTACGCTAGCGGCCTCGTGAGCGGTTTCAGCAAGATGCTCTCGCAGGAGGGTGTCGGTGCTTTCTATGCCGGCTTCGGCCCTATCCTGTTCAAGCAGTAAGTATCTATACGTCCGAGAGTCCAGTTGAACAAAACTAACCTAACATACAGGGTTCCTTACACCATGGCCAAGTTCGTTGTTTACGAGAAGGTCGCTGAGGCCATCTACCGATCATACCCCAAGGAGAAGATGTCTGATGGTCTGCAAACCACCGTCAACCTGGGATCTGGTCTGATCGCTGGTTTTGCTGCTGCCATCGTCTCCCAGCCCGCCGACACTATGCTGTCCAAGATCAACAAGACCAAGGGTCTCCCCGGTGAGAGCACAACTAGCCGTCTCATCAAGATTGCTAAGGAACTCGGCCTCCGCGGATCCTACAGCGGTATCGGTGCTCGTCTCTTCATGGTAGGCACTCTAACTGCTGGACAGTTTGCCATCTATGGCGACATAAAGAAGGCATTAGGGGCAGTAGGCGGTGTGGAGATTTCCAAATAGATCGCAAGATAGAGTAGAAAGTAGAGCAGGGGACGTAGATTTGGTGAACTGGCATCAATTGTAAATATAGAAGAAATACTAGACTAATATATCACGTGATAGTCACGTGGTTTCTATAGCCCTCAGCTCTGATTACATGTATGTTAACTCAGATGCCATAGTCTAAGGCAACTTCTTTAAAGCCTTGCTCTTTTAATAGAAAATACATGTCAGAAATATATCGTCGCCAAGAGGACCCTTAAAATGTCTTGCGCAGGCAGGCAGCGCAGAGTATATATGTTCAAAGTCAGCTGAAGGTGACTTATCACACAATACCCCCAAAGTTTTGGGTCAGCCATCGCCCTTACATTGGCGGGTGCAACATTATTCAGAGGACGAATAAGATAGCTAAACTATATCCTATCGTAGCCCCATTGTTCTATAATAGTCAAGCCCTCTGTTCCGCATAAGACTATGCCTAACAGATTTTCCAAATTTGTATCAATATATTACCTATGTGAATGGCTGGATGAGAAGTTAGTGGCCTCCAATAATTAAAATTTCCGAGGTTGTATTCCCGGCGCTTTAAGGATAATGAGCCAACAAGTGAATCACCATGCCCCGTCACGTCCCAATAACGTAAAATACGCCCAGGTAGACTCTAAGGCTGAATAGCTAAATAACACTGTACTATTTGCTGAGCATTTAAGGTATATAACGTAGGATATCTATGAATTAACAAGAAATTTAATTTCCCATTGTAGTCAATTTGATCTCCGCTACAACACCCAAGCCTACGAGACAGTTACGAGTCAGGCACTTCATCTTGTGCTACGTGGGTTAGGTACAATACGCAGCTGAAACTCGTTCAAGTTAAAACAAAAGTGGTATTTAAACTGCAATGCCCAGACCAATAGAAGATACGAGCTATCAGTTTCAGTAGGTTCCATATCTCCTAGAACTTAAGAGAGAAACTATACCCTTCGTTTAAGAGGTGCTAGCGTCATAAACCATAGGTAAATGAACTTTAGACGGGAATATCTTAGCCAAGTTTTCGAGGCCAGCTGAATAGAAGAATAATGGACAGGCACAGGACGTGGCCAAATCAACAACCCTTATTGTAAGCATCCAAACAGAGAGTACTACCAGGCATATAACTGATGATTAAAGTAACAATGTGGAGTCTACAGTCGATACAGAAGTAAACTCGGCCTCTAACTCAACCAGACAAACAGCAGAAATCGAGAGTCCACCCATTGAACTACCAGTATCTCATGGATGGCGACCTAGCTATTTACAGAGACGAACAATTGTGATATTCAACATAATTTTCCTAATAGCGATCGTCGTCTTAGAAATCCTGAACACAGTTTCTTTACAATACAGCGGCCTATGAACCGCTAACGAGAATTTGTTTTACCTATGGTCTCTCGGCCCAACTATAAGTGCGTATTCACGAGGAATAGTCTGGATATATCTAATTTTTCCTTACTTCTCACTATAATCCTTGCATTTTGGTCCAGGGTTGAATACCAGGCCCTTCGATACATGCCTTGGCTTGCTCTTGGGAAACGATATAAACATGTCAGTCCTGGACACAACAATGCACCTGAAACAATTCTCTTGGACTATGATGACATCCCACTCCCTATTGCGATCGTAACCGCAATAAAGAATAAACACTTTTTAGTCCTTTCCACCATCCTAATTTCGGTTATCTTGAGAGTCCAGATTATTCTCACATCCGGCCTCTTTTCTACCAATCTTACCGTATTCCATCACGACGTACCGGCAGATTTACTCGACCGGTTTTCCGACCATATCCCAGAGATCCCAAATGATTTTATATATGACCCGCGCCTCTACGGCTCAGAGAGAGCTTCCTGGTCCATAGGTCTCAATCCAAATTTTACAATGCCCGGTTTAGCACTCCAAACATTTGATGCTGAGAAGGCTCTAGCAACGATAGAGAACGCGACTGAGTTGTCAATAGCTGTGGAAGGTGTTACAGCTTCTTTGGATTGTGAGGAACCTGAAACAATGATGACATCGTCGCTATTAGACTCTCGACTAAACTATGAAGTCGTCTCGATACTTCTTAATAGAACTATTAGAGGAGGGATATATATGGGCACTAAGGTCCATGAAGATACATTCTTCTTAATTTATTATTGGGAAGACCACACGGCAGAAAATAACCTTTCTATTCCCTTCTTCCTGGCTGTGGTTGTAACCCCTGCACAACGATATGCCAATAATACACGCAGTTTCTATGCTCAGTCGCTAGTGTGTAAGATGACATGGCCCATCAGTCAGTTTATGGCCACCTACGAGGCCGGTACCCTCAATCCAACCTTTTGAAAATGGTAAAAAAAAAGATCAGTTAATGGTGGACTATTTGAATTTTTATGGAGGGCTTCCCCAAGCGGAAATTCTTCCAGAGTTAGCACACGAAAGCGAGATCAATGGAGTACACAGCAAATCGGCCCAAGAGGAATGATCCCCATAGAAAGGGTCACTTCTAATACGGATGTCTTCTCCATCTCTATACGTGCTACGGCTGATTAGGCATAGATATAGACGATTATGATGAGATCATAATTTAAGAAAAGAGTAGAGTCCGATGCGGACGGACAGCTAGCCCGGACTTTGGTGGGTCCATCGGGTACCTAGAGCTAAAACGGCCCGAGCCGATTAAAACTGACATCACCGCTGCTTTAACTTTTGTTTGCCTACATGAGAGTATGTACCTATTGGATCTAAGGAGGTACCTATACTCTCCTACTCTTCCAACAAACCACGATAATTTTAATTCTCTTACAATACTTATTTGTAAAAATGGTCCTCGTGAATCGAATGAAGCAATTCGAAGCCGCATTCGGCTTGACGCTACCTATCTCATCTCCAATCGTCCTACGTCTAGATGGTCACTGCTTCTCGCGCCTTACGACCCAGACATATTTTCGGCGGCCCTTTGACCAACGCATCCACGATGCCATGATCGCTACTTGTTCTGACTTATTACTGAACTTCTTCCCCGATGCTACTGTCGCTTACACACATTCTGACGAAATCACGCTAGTGTTTCCGAGAGGTGATAACCAATTCTTTACCCAGCCGGTGCAGAAGCTCGCATCTCTGGCTGCTGGTTATTGTAGCGTGCGATTCAACGCGCATCTTAAAGCTGCATTGGACCCAGATCTCGGGGACCAACTTCAAGGTGGGGTCGAGCTCCTGTTTGGCACTGTCTACTTTGACGCCCAGGTTTTTACTGTGCCGAGCATCGAGGAGGCTCTAAACTACTTGCTTTGGCGATGCTCTGATTATGCAGTAACGAGCAGCATCAATGCGCTTGCGGGTACCTTATTTAGCGATAGCCAAATACACAATAAGACCCACGAAGAGCTAGTGGAGATGATGCGTCAGGAGAAGAACATCGTCTACGAAGAAGTCGTACCAAGATGGGCAGTCGAGGGATGCCTTGTAAAGAGGGAGTTGTGTCACCATGAACTCCCGGATGCTCGGATAGGCCAGACGGGGGAGACGCCGGCGATGAGGACTCGCACGAGTACAGAAGAGAGAGGCCTCAGAGAGTTCAGTGCAGACAACCTCAAATTAGTAACAGAGGGGTATTGGAATGACCTTGGCTCATCTTCAGTTTCCAGGAGGGTAGTTCCTACTATAACTGATAACAGCTCTATTGCCACTGCAAATGCGACTATATTCGGTCCTAACGTCTACGTCTTCGATCCGAGGATGCCCGCAGCTAAAATCCAGGACAAAGTAACAGCCATCTTCAAGCAGATGGAAGCTAATGAGTTTGGTACGGAGAGATATGCTCTTCTTTTTAAGCCAGGAGTCTACAACATACTATTCGATATAGGCTTCTACACGCAGGTCGCTGGGCTCGGCCGGAATCCGGATGATGTGTTGATTGAAGGCGGCGCCAACGTGCCGGCCTACTGGATGCCGAACCGTAACGCCACGTGTAACTTTTGGCGAGCATTCGAGAATTTTTCTATCAACGCCTCGGCGGCCACTAATAACACAACGACGATTGCAGTGTCGCAAGCCGCGCCACTGCGACGCATGCATGTGCGAAGCTCGAACGGTCTCTGGTTATTCCAGGTCGACCCGAGCACGGGAGCGGGAGGTTGGGCTTCCGGAGGGTTTATGGCCGATTCAGTGGTCGACTACCAGGTGCTTCCCGGCTCGCAGCAGCAATGGCTATCACGTAACAATAGGTACGGTAGCTGGGCTAACGCCGTGTGGAATATGGTATTCGTCGGTGACTCCAGTGCACCTAGCCAAGATAACTTCCCAGATTCCCCATATACTACCGTGGATCGAACTCCTATCATGAGAGAGAAGCCTTTCCTTTACATCACAGCTCAAGGTCAATACGAAGTTTTCGTGCCTGCATTACAGACCAATACAAAAGGGCCTAGCTGGACGGATGGGTCTTCAACGGCTGGCGTGTCTATCCCTATTGATCGATTCTATATTGCTCAGCCCTCTACATCTAGTGCGGCAAGTATCAACTCGGCCTTAGATTCTGGGAAACACGTCATCTTCGCACCGGGAATCTATAAACTTGACCACGCCCTGCGTGTCTCACGGGCGGACACCATCATCCTCGGGTTGGGTCTACCCTCACTTATTCCAACATGCGGCCAACCAGCTCTAACCGTTGCTGATGTGAGCGGTGTGACGCTCGCGGGTCTCATAATTGATGCGGGTGAGATTAGTTCACCGACTCTCATCGAAGTCGGACCGCCGAATAGTTCGGCCGACCACGGGTCAAACCCGACGTTTCTCTACGACTTGACGATACGGACCGCCGGCCACGCCAAGAACAAGGTCGGCATCACCATCAATAGCCGCAATGTAGTCGGCGACCAGCTTTGGCTTTGGCGCGCGGATCACGGCGACGGTGCAGCCTGGGATGCTAACCCTACGAACAACGGCGTGGTGGTTAACGGCGACAACGTGACGATATATGGTTTGTTCAACGAGCATCACAAGGAGTTTCAGACTGTCTGGAACGGAAACAATGGCCGTCTCTACTTTTACCAGTCCGAAATCCCTTACGATCCCCCTAACCAGGAGTCATGGAAGGGTAAAGACGGGAGGACCAACGGGTTCGCCTCGTATAAGGTTGCCGACAGTGTGACGAACCACGAGGCTTGGGGGCTAGGCATCTACTCGTACTTCCGGGACTCCCCTACGAAGCTGGAAAACGCCATCGAAGTTCCGGAGGCCGAGGGCGTCAAATTGCACCACATGACTATCGTGTGGTTAAACGGAGTGCCTGGTAGTGAGATTACTCACATCGTCAATGGGATTGGTGGCCGTGTCTATGCGAACCAGCCAGAGTCTGCGATGCGTCAAACCCTGAATGAGTTTTCGGGCGGTAGCAAATCATAATCTGCACTTGGGACTTCAACATATCTCCCGATATTTTCATATCTTTATGGTGCAGATCTATCTAATTATCTACGCAACTAGGTTAGTTAATACTTATTGGTAAAACTTACACTATGCTACATAACTTATTGACAGCTAGGATCATGGGATAGGGTTTATTCAAGGTTCAATCGCAGCCAAGTATTTCGTCAGCTTAGCTCTCAGTCACGTCAGTCTCGCACCAGTACATAATGAATAGGCCTGGAGAGTCGCTTAAAAGGAACGTCGGAGAACTCAAGGTTATGAAATCCTATACGAATATCTTGTAAGAATATATTTAGGACGCGTGGTATGACATGCAATACTTCTTCCCCCGGCGTCCAGCATCCGGGGAAAAGGTATTACATAGATCATATGACACATGTAAAGCCCGAATGTTTCCAATGGGACCATTTCGAAGTTTAGGTGTTATCTCCGATGCTCTGACGGACGAATGGGGGATCCCAATGACATTATGACATTGGTTCAAGCTTCAAACCCCAGGACCCCCGAATGTATACGTCTCCAGTGTGGGCAGATATCCCCGTGCCCCGTGCCCCGCGGTTCCGGAGTTACCCACGAGGGTCTCATGGTTCCTAGTCGTGCAGCTCATGTAAGATTTGGTTAGGATCTTCATGCATGTCTAAACGCGTATATATGTGTATATTGTCAGCCTACTATACCCAGAGGCTCAACTTCTCATACGTTACCCAAATACCCAAATAATGAATATCACGATGTTGCACCAAAGGTTGTTGTCTACATATTAGTGTTGGTCTTTGTTTTCGTGAAATATCATGTCTTCTGAGTAATTACCAATTACGTCACGAATATTTGGTATCTAGGTACCTATATTCGGTGATAATATACATGGAGGGGTCTGCGTCACGAACCCTAAGAGATCTGTGCCATCCTAGATAGATTGCGGCGGCGATGGTGATGGCTTGCTATGATATAATCCCAGACCCTTAGGATCGTAAATATGTGTAAGTGACGTTGTCTGTACGACTTCTACTAGGTAGTTACACGTAAAGTAATACCGTAAAGTAGGTATTATGAAAGACGAGAATAATGAATAGAAGTACCTAAGCCGATTTATGATATCTATTGGCATTGAGGGCTCAGCGTCACAAACGAGTGGGACATGCAGTTGTTACATTAGGTAGGTTAGGTATGTTAGGTACGATATGTGGGTGGTAGCGTATATGTATGCATGGAAGGATCTCGCCCCGAGATAAGGAATCAGAATAAAGAAAGAAAGACACTCCAAGAAAAAAAAGCTATTGGCAAATTGTATTTGGGCACAAAAAACCCAAATTGTCCGAACATCGCTGGAACTACTTGGCCATTTGAAGATCGGTCCCCACCGATAGCTCTGGAAGTGGTACGATAGCAGCACGATAATACCAACAATCACAGCGACTTGCAGCTTGCTTACCCGACCTTCTTAGGCCTATTAGGTACTAAACTAGGCACTAAATCACTGATCGTCCAGGCACTTTAGCGTTAAACCCCCCCGGTTTCCCCCATCTAGGGTTCATTCCACAATCGGCGTCAGACAGCCCGTCACAGCCGCTCGTCCTAAGCACACTACAGCACGCTAACACACTAGGCTCACTTAGTCGGAGTGGCTAGTCCTGTTAACTAATCCGTATCCCATCCCACAATTTAATAAGTGCGACTTGGAACTCGGAAATATCAGGATTTGACTGACACTTTATTGCACTCTCCTCTTGCTCAATTTCTGATCAAAGCCACTCTTCCGTGCTCCATTAATAATAAGCAGAAAAGAGGAAGAAAAACCCAATAAGAAAGTTATAAGAAAGTTTATCCAACATCATTATCTAAAAGTCTATTATACTTCAATATCAACTGGTTGCTCTACTAAGCTTCCACTCCAACCTTCGCGTTTTCCCCCAACAGAAAGTCCGAACTTCGCCGGTATAAAACTACCTCTGTCGCTATTAATTTATAAAGCCGAGGCAAAGATATTTTTTGCCATATTTCTCTCCTCCAATCTGCTCACCCTAGAAAACAAACGTCCTATATTTTCATTCCCAATCACAATGTTCGCTACACGAGTTTTACGTCAAGCGGCAGCACACGCCGAGCGCACTCCCTTGATTCGCTTCATCGGCAAGCGAACCATTCCTGGTATGTCTTTTGAAATATTAAGAAGAGCCCGGGCTTAACGCCCTTTCTCCTCAACTAGATAGCCCACCTCTCTTGCTAACACCAATCCCCTCCCGTAGAAAACGTAGACCACACCCCGCAACCTCACCCGGCCTCCCCCAGCGGCGCCCTCCCGTCTGCCGGCAACTCTCACACATCTTTCTCCTCGTACCGCGACCACGCTCAGCAGCACGGTCCTCTACGTAAGACCATTGGCGCCGCCGGTGGCATTGGCGCCCAGTCGGCCGCCAACCTCGGCCCTGTTGAACCTCCGAAGGGCTATTACTTCGACCGCAACGAGCTGCCTGAGCGCTTCCACCGCGTTCCCCTCACGGCGGCCGAGATTGAGGCCATCGAGACAGGCGGCGCTGCTTTGTTCGGTTGAGGCCCCCGCTCTATCTTGGCGGGTATAGGACGCAGCTGTACCCGTGCGAGTATGACAAACATACGATGTTAGATGTTGTGAATTCGGCGGCAGAGCAGAACGGCGGGCAAGCTGCATTTCTCGATGCTTCTGATGGTTTATAATTTGATGGCATTCAATTATGAAGGACATGGAGAGCATCGAGCCGTGACCTCCTGATGGGACGAACTGTCCAGGTGAATCAACTACACCGAGCATTCGTTACCTATATAAAGGGTCCCATATTCTCAGTTACATTATGTATCTATGGCTTATGCAAAGGTGGGGAGGTTCAACTGAAATTAATTCCCAGCATTGGAGGTGCGTCAAAAGGGTTACGTTTTTGTGAGGTCGCCATAAAGGGTTCTAGCATGAGTTTGGCGCTTCGGGGTTTATCAGACGAGGTATGGAAGAATGAGGATGAGGAGACGATAGCCGAGACGACAGTTCGCGAGAAATAGGGATACCCCGTGGTCGTGTGGAGGTCGTGTAGAGGATAGCGTTGCCTTATTTTTCCTTTGCTATGATGTGTACGATGTCGCTAAGAGACAAAATACAATAGGATGATTATGTAAATTTATAGCCCCAGCAGCTGGGTTAGAACGAAGATCACTTGTCTCTGAAAAATGGGTCGTTGGTATCGAAGACCGTGCTTGAATTATTACGTAGATTTCCGCATCTATGTACAATGGAGCCTGTGGTAAACCGATTATAAAATATACCTGTTACAAAAGCATCCCTGAGCTTTAATACTCTTCGGCATACCTGTGCTATTCATGCTGGCCAGACACCTCTTACTACTAAATGTTTGAATCTAGGTAGGTTACCCTAATCTCATCGCCAGTAACGCCCCCAAATAGCATATTCCTCTTTAGTGCCGCGGAACTTGAAATCGATCTCGACTACGTCTTGAAACCCTTCTTTAACTTTTGGTTCCTTGAAGCGAGAGAAGTATCCATTGAATGCGAGGCTGGGAAGCGCTGCGCGGGCTTCTGGGTTCATCTGCAGTTATAGCTCATTTAGCAACAATTTCTCTGTATACCACGTCATGTTCTTACAGGTAGGGGACATGAATATGGATATTTTTCTATTTCGAGTGTACATACCGGCTTGTTGAGAGCCCGGACAACGTCGTTATGCTCACACAGCGCTTTGGGCACATTAAACCAGACGCAGCGAATAGGCACGTTATTCTTGCGCGCGAATTCGATCCATTCTTTTCTGCCATCCGTGTCGGCGTTTGTGTTGTCTTTATAAATTCCTCTTAGCACGCAATATTCTTGGGGTTTACAGTAGAAAATAGGCGCAGGGAGGATTGATATGATATGCGTAATGGACAAAGTCACTTACCAACGACTATTGAATTCCCTTCGCCTAGAAACTCCCCGGCGGCCTTGAAGCACTTGGCCCGGGTCTTCAGCGTATCCTGATTCACACGTTCATAACCTAGCGGTTTCAAATTCCGCCAGTAGAACGTACTTTTGCCGGCGCCGGGCGGCCCACAGAACAGTATGATATCCTGTTTATTGGTCTTCTCGAACAGGACCTCGCTACCCTCCACCTCGAGATATGGAAAAGAGGCCAAGTTAAAGTCTCTCGTGAATTCCCGTGGTGGCTCACCAAGGAAGAACTCTTCGGGCGTCACGTAGGTGATACCAACGTTATGCGCAAAGTTACGGTCCGAGCAACTAAAATCCTTAGCAGCGGCTACGCCCCTCCCACTAGATTTCAACTGCGCCGTCCGGCCACCTGCGTCGCCCACAAAAATACTGCCCGCAAGGTCAATCTCATCTTCGCTTAGGCCGTAATCCCGGCACACCTCCGACCACATGCCGGTGCGTGGCTTGCGAAAGACGTCGTGGCCGGTAGCAGCGTATATAGTGGTGGGTAAATCGAGTTGGGCAAGCACTGCGCTACACTTCTGTTTAAACTTATCGACTTTGGCTTTACTACCAGCCTTCGGAGCTTTGGACTTTGGATCCGGGTGCAGGGTAAGTCCGCCTTGGTTGCTGAGAATCACCACTCGACAGCTAAGACGTGTAAGCGAGATAAGTCTAATGAGATATTACAACTGTAGCTGGGGCAGCCTCCACGGTAGCAAGATCCGTAGTCACATACTCTTCTGCGTATAGTTCTCGTAACCGGGACGGCACGCTAGGGTCCCACCACTTCCAATCGCTAGGGTCGTCTGTAAATTTCTTGCCTGATACCGTGGTGATCAAGGTCGAATCCTGATTTAACCGTCAACCTTGAGCACGATTGCCATCCGTCGAAACCGGGCGGGCGAGAGAAGTAAAGAAGGGAGAGAGTTGGTCTGTACCATATCGAACGCGGCTATCTTCATTCTCTTTCTCCGATCGGACTCCTCTATCTTCTCGGGCTCGTAACGACCAACAAGCAGAGAAGGCGACGAATCGCTACCATCGGGAGCGCGTTCGGTCCAGGTCGTCCGGTCCTTTGGTTTCTGGGACGTCGGGGTGAAGAAATTAGCCACGGCATTCTCTGGTAGTAGCATTACAATTAGCAAAGGACGCAATTGGTCGAGAAAGTTCAAAGGCCACACACGAACTTGATATGTTACTTTGGGTTTTGCGCTTTAGAGGTGGAGGAGATATAGACTTTTCTAGCTCTTTTCGTTTGCTAGTATTTGAAAAAGACGACGACGCCATTTTGTAGAGTAGTTGGTGGCCTGGTGAAGTTGCTGTCCTGGGTACGAAGTAGAAGATGTTTGAGCGTGTAAATGTGTGAAGAAGCGCGATCTTAGTGAAGTTGTAGCTGATGTTGACATGGTATGTACATATAGGTACCGAGGTATTTAATAAGCGGTTACGATACATATATCCGCACTTGAGCCACATCATAAAGTTGTTAGGTACCTAACCTCAATACGAAGCAGGGCTCGAAAAGATTAAAAAAGGTCCTTGATTGAAAACGCAGAGTTCCATTCTGTATGTTAGTATAAGTGGATAAATTAAAAAAAAAGGTGGAAGATGTGCTACCACTTAAAACATTGCAAAGTTAATAAATTAGGTATTAACTAACTAAATACTTTTTAGTACGATATATTTCTATCTTCAAGGTTACCAAAATAGATGGATATATGCAGCTGCAAGTTATAGCAGGGTACCTACCGTTAGGTACCCAACCCAACATACACCGGGCAGGTAAGGTTAGGTAACATCCAAAGTAGGAGGTACATACCTTAGGAGGTAGGTATGATGCAGCGAGGTATACTACACCTTATCGCACCCTTTCCTTACCCCTCCCCCATATCAACTATCTACTATCTATTATCTATTACTATTATCACAACGCCTCAAGATTACAGCCTCAACTATTTTCCTTTCCAGCGTCATGTTATCGCTGTCGTTCTCGACTAGCGAAACATGCAAGCTCATCAGCCTCCCCAACCCAATTCGGCACCTAATCTATCGCCACGTAGGTTTACCTACAAACACTTTTCTATATCTTGACATCCCCCGATCCAGTCGTAGTCCTTATAGCGGAACACACCAGGACCTTGACGATGTCCTAAACCTCTTGCTCGTCTGTCGAGCTATTCATGTTGAAGTATCATCGTATCTATACTCGGCCAATACCATAGTCACCCACAGCTTGGATCCTCTTATAAGGCTTAACAAATCTTCACTCTCATATCTTACTTCTCTCAAGATACACCTGAATGTTGCTGGCACTACACATTGCGGACAGAGATATTGGGGATATGACAGTGAAGGGCTGAGAGATTCTGATCCTCTTATATCTCAGTGGAAGGCCGCTATCGACCATATTGCCCCTCATATTAGACCCCGGCAGTTGGAATTAGCACTCATTTGCGACTGCGAACCTAGACGGGCGAATGCCGCAAACCTCGTACTCGCACCTCTTCGCCAACTGCCTATTCTGAGGCGATGCCATATTCGGCTTGGGCGTAAACCTCACCGTCAACTTCGCCAACTAGCCTGGAGTGCCGCTGAACGTGCCGTCGGCCTAGCGCCGCCATCCACATTTCAGTTTCTACGTCTTCCACCCGAGATACGTATCAGGATTCTAGAGTATACAGATCTTGTAACGCCTTTCAATAAGGTTCGATGGAATCCGGGAGCAGGGTACCATACTTTTAGAGAGTGCGACTCTCGCAAGTACGGACCGCCGTATTGTCACCCAAATGACCACCGAGCCTGCGTATCAAGCAAGGATGCTGGCAAGAGCTGCAAGGCGTGTCCTCATGGCGATAGTAGGGTAAGATACGGGCCCGAATCGCACTGCTGGCGATGTTTCCACTACGCCTGCCAATTTTATGACTGCGAGAGGCGTAGCACTGCAGGCGATCAGACCTACACAGGGTGCTTCTGCTCCCGCCGCCACGCCGCGTATTCGCCTCTCTGTCGGTGTTGGGCTCCCCCTACTGCTTTCTTTCTCGTCAGCCGGGCTTTTCGAGAAGCTGCTGAAGCAGTTTTCTTTGCTCATAATCACTTTGTCGTCCACACCTTTAGTCGCCCGTCCTCCCTCGTACGTAATACAACGCTGCCCCCTAGACGATATCCTGGATGCGAATTCCTCAGTACCATACCCATGGAGGCAATACGACATCTACGATCTCTGGAAATAATATTCGACGATCAGGGAAATTTGACCCGCTACTCTCCACCTCCATTGCGTTCTTTCGGTAGCATCAAGGTCAGACTTAGCCTACAGTTTCTCCAGATCATTGCCCTGCTACTGCCCGCCAGAGGTCGAAAAATGGGTATCGTAGCTGCTGAAAAAGGTGTGGACTATGTGGGAGATCTAGCAGATAGATATTTATGGCCTCTCAGTCGCGCCGATCTTGTTCCCAGGGCGCAAACACTTGTCGTGGAGATCATTGACGTCGTCCCGGATATATTTTACTATTTACGGTCGCCGTCGACCGAGTTCCCTATTCATATCCGAGGTCGCCTACTCTATTCGAATTCCCATACGGGTCGACTAATAACAGGTAACTTTACAGGTGGTACCGGGAGCGAATTAGGAAATAGTACCTCTGGAACGCACGGCCGTCAGCTAATAGAAGGGTTCTGCCTCTTTGGTGATATAAGTTATCCCGAGTTCGAATTTTAGTATTACTCATGAGCTATACCGAAGATCACGATAGGCCTGTCTCCTATGCTTCGTTATGGGAAAGGGACTCGCGGGAAACCAACTTGGATAATGTGTACGAGGTTCGAAGGTAAGTTGATACTAACAATGAGCTGCATATATCTCTGTATTTCCACATTCTTCTCTACTACTAGATAGTCACAAGAATCTAATCAAAGCAGAGTTACGACCCATGAAGAAAGAGACCATCATATATTAAGCCCACACCTTATAAGAAGCATCGACGATCGACTTGTAGTATCTTTATTACGCTTCTACTTCTTGTATTCGGAGCAATAGACTTGGCATATTCGGCCTAAACAACTAAGATATGCAATACCAGTTTAATAAACGAGGATTGGTTTATACGCAATTTCATCCAAAGGTATAAGCCGGCCTTTGTCTAAAGTATGCAACCTTGGATGTGCGAGAAGTTAATGAGCTTTCGGCGTGTCTATCACTCAAACGGGCTTGTGTCTGGCGAAGGCCGTTCGCGAACAAGATATAAATTATGCTATAAGGAGTATCGAAGGTCAACATACTCCTAGCAATATACTATCCCGATTGTACATTTCGGTTGCTATAGCCCTTATCAAAAAGTAAGAGTCGAATATTCAGTTCGTTAGTATCTTGCATTAGCGAAGTTATATCTAGATCTACCTAGGAAAACTTAGTTTGTATTATTCAGGAATATGCCGATGTAAAATGATTAAAGATGCTAGGTTAAGTCATTATTCATAAATAATCAAACTATCTAGCACCACTAAGGTTATGAGTTGCAAATAACTCGTAACATAAATTTGCGTAGAGCTGTTGACATGGCTAACGAAGCTTGTAATATTTACCGATTAGGTGAGATGACCTATTCGTCTATTGAGGGCGTTTCAATCATGTTTATATTAAGCCCACGGGTTCCAATCAGTAAAGCCTCTATTATTATAGGTGCCCAGCAACGCACATGCAAGTAATCCAAACGTAGCAAGTGCCTCACCAGGCCTTCTAATGAGTTCGTCAAGATGATTCTCGGGTTAAACTTGCAACGAAAACGTTACGGTCAATATCCCATAATTCCTATATGCTTCGCACAGGGACCTAGATTAAGACCATTGATAAACCTACAGAAAACCTATTTATCGGGGTATTTCAAAAGCTTTGATTTTCATGGCATATCTAGAAACCATAGTAAAATGGATTGATATCGAAGGCTTATCATAAGCTCTCAACATTGGCTTTAGCTCTCCGAGACCCCTTAAGCAATTATAAGGCGGATATCAGTTCACCAAGAGAGAATATAAAGACTGTAGAATGCGAGACTAAATAGCTCTAGCTTATACACGGCGGGAATAATACCGATGGGGGTTTTTCGATCCTTGAGACAAACCGGACCAGATGCGTGGAAAGATGGGAATAAAATCTTCGAGTATATTTCCTGGGCTCTACGTCGTAGCAGTTTGCTTACCCCCCACGACGGTTCTGACAATATAGTTCATACATCTGGTCACGATATCCATCTGAGCTCTCCGACTGGTGCCCACTTACCTTGGGGTTACAAGGCCGCAATCTCGCATTAGTGTTGTGTCATTCTCCTAGCATTAATACTAGGGGCTTGTCAAGCCACATGGAGTATTATAACAAGATAGCTCATCCATTCATCGAATCGAATAGCGTATAGCTCTCTGTAATACGAATATAGTCGCATCTGATCTCAGACTCCCCCGCTCTCCCCACATCCTGATGGTCCCGTAGAGTCCCATCGCGGGTCGATCCGGCTGACATACAGGCGGTAAATTGCATTGCCGAGGAACGGTAACCCAAGTTCTTTCAATACCGAGCTGGAAATATCAGGTAGGGGGTTTTTGGACACTGACTAATGCGTAAGTCCTTGCGCAGTTTAAATTAAGACTGTCCCACCGGACGGAGCTACGAGGAGAGACTTGGAGGGTGTGGTGATAGCCCACAGAAAATTAGGAAGCATGAGCATTTCAGAGAAGTTCGACGGGGAGGTTCAACAAGGGGAAACAATTACGGTTGCGCCAGGGAACTGCAGTGTCGATGAAGAGCAGATCGTCCTGTTTAGGCAGTTTGAAGCCGCGAGCTTGGAGTGGCATCGTGGGATAACGAAAAAGCTCACTAAGAAAGTCGACCTTCATCTGCTTCCGATGTTAATGTTGATGTATATGCTCAACTTCCTTGACCGAAAGTAAGTCATGAGAAGAAACCTTTGCGCTGAATATTCTTTGGGGCCTATCTGAATAAAGGAGAACAGCAACCTTTCGCAAGCCCGCCTCGGGACGTTAGAAGATGACCTTGGCATGACGGGCACAGACTTCAACCTCGCGACGAGCATCTTGTTCGTCGGGTACATCATCATGCAGCTTCCATCAAATCTTCTGATAACTCGAGTGTCGCCCTCGGTTTATCTAGGGGTAGCTATGACGATCTGGGGAGCTATATCTGCGGCTCAGGCGGCGACTCGCACTTTTGCTTCTCTAGTCATATGTCGATTTTTCCTTGGCTTCGGTACGTATCATGTTGTTAAGCAACGAAGACAATCCCTCTATATTGCTTAAGCTGCTTTCCTATTCTTTGCCTTCTATCATGCAGAGTCCTTCATGAGCTGCACCCTGATGCATGAGAGAAGCATGAGTGTTCCGAAGTAGTATTGTCTTGAGTCAAAGCACTAATGTATATCTACAGCGGAAGCGCCATTCTTTCCAGGTGCAATATTCCTAATGTCAAGTTGGTACACTCGGCCCGAGCTGGCGCTCAGGATCGCATGGTTCTACTGCGGGCACTCGGTGGCGAACGCGTTTGGCGGCCTCCTAGGCGCTGGCGTTCTGGGCAATTTGAACGGCGCCCACGGCATCGCTGGATGGTAAGCATGTATCCACGATACAAGCAATTAAACTGGCTAACTGAAAAAGGCGATGGCTTTTCATAATCGAGGGTAGCATAACAGTCTTTTCTGCCATCTGCTCGGCCTTCATTTTGCCCAACTACCCAGCTACGACGAAATGGCTATCTCCAGAAGAACGCGCGTACGCGCAGTGGAGGCTTGTCAAGGACGCGGGAGAGGTGGATGTGGCAGACGCCTCATCCATCAAAGAAGGGGTAATGCTGGCACTGCGCGACCCGCGCCTCTACCTATTCACGTTGCTGCAGCATGCCTCGCTCCTTTCACAGACGTTCCAGTATTTTTTCCCAACTATCCTGCAGACTTTAGGATACGGCAATATCGAAACCCTGCTCCTAACCGTCCCCGTCTGGGTACTATGCTTCTTGGTTTCCTTGGTCGTGACGTATACGTCCGGACGCTTCGAAGACCGCAGCATTCACATTGTATGCTTGATACTGATTTCTGTCGCGGGCAATATTATTGTAGTGGCCACGCTCAACAATGCAGCTCGTTTCTTCGCCTTGTTCCTCTTGCCAATGGGCGCAGTTCCTGCTTATCAGGTGATTCCCCCTATTCTCTTTGGCAAATACAGTGACACGTACCTGCGTAGATTAGGTAGTCTATTTTTACCAAAAGTCTTGGGTGTGGCTGACTTGGAGAATGTCCAAACTATAGATCATTCTCGCCTGGGTAGCTAATAGTTTTCCACGCCCTCTGGTCAAGCGCAGCGCCTGCATCTCCTTCGGCAACATGATCGGAAACACGGCCAATATCTACGGCACCTACATGTACGTATTTAGCCACACCGAGTTCTGCACATAACCTCGTGATGGAGCCTAGACTCTTAGCAGAAACATGGAGTATGGAGTACGTGTGGAGTATGTATGTACAAGAGCGCTGACCGCAGACTGCGTTTAATTCAAAGGTATCCATCTGTCAACGGGCCGCGATACCTTGCTGGTGGAAGCGCCACAGCAGCCGACGCGCTCCTAGTTGCCGTCTTAGCTATTATCGCGAGGCTTGTGTTGCAGAGACAAAACAGGAAACTGGCTACCCGCGAGGCCTACGAGTCGAACGAGCTCCAGGCGCAGCCCGGCGACCCAATTACAACTACTCCCGCAGGCTTCAGGTATATACTCTAGAACTAGCCAGGTTATTCCGTTATGTAGAAATTGGATACCCCCTCCTATCCCGCATGCGGGTCTTTTGCTGCGGAATCGGGGAACTAGACCAAGTATATATATACGAGGCTGGGCGTTGACGTGTGGCGTATTCTCGAGTGCTCCATGTACATACTTTACGTCGCCGATCTTTCAATAGACTTACTGATGGCTGGATTAAATCGTTTGCAATTGGGAGTGATACGTATGGTCCGGGGGCAGTGAATACCTCTTGACACCTCGAATACCACCCTACCGTAGACGTTTTTTAACATCAAGCCATCCGATATATGCTGTCAAACTCGAGTTGCCCCCCTCCTCTTCCCCCCTCACCCTCCATAGAAGCCACAAAGCACGAAGAATCCGTAGGTGGAAGATCTAGTAAACCGAACATACCGTATTGTACATACTGTATCATCCACCAGCCGTAACCCCAAAAGTATGCACGATAATATACTAAAAAAAAACTCATGTTATCCACGGGGTTTCCTTATCCAAATTAGACGTTATCTCGATCTAATTACATGGCAAGGTTATTCATATACACGATTCTCATCCTCCTTCACACATCATCTCCTCGTCGCCCCCAAAGACAACAAAAGACCCGCTAACCGGAGTCGAAATTGACCCTTGAGAGCCGGAGGCTGCGGTCATCGCTAATGATCGACCCAGCAAGTTAATATCGCCCTCATCCACACGCCAGATAAACTTGTGCTCTGTGGCATCATCGTTCTCCTCCTGTTCTTCGATCTCCAAAAGTTGGACAAGACGATGTACAGCAGGTACAGTGATACACACAGAGCTATTGCAATAGGCGATCCTCTTCCGTTGAAAGTCTTTTTTTTTTCTTTTGCTTCCCCCCTTCCTACACTCCAAGCGCCGATGCAATGATATGCGGGTAAACACTAAGGATTACCAATTAAAAAGATGATATCCGGAAAGATATCCAAGTTACCACATCCCGTGCTCCAAAGTTCCAATGCTGCGCGATTTCAAAAAAAAAAAAAAAAAGAAAAAGAAAAAAAAAAACTTTTGTTTCTCATATGTAACCGGTACAGTATCCGCCCTCGAGACGTTGGGTATGAATTCTGTATACATGAGGAATAAAGGGGTACAAAAAAAGAAGGGAAGAAAATGAGCAAGTCTATGTAATGTCCCGAGAGTCGGCATATTCTGTCGATCCCAGCCACGTATGTGCAGATGCATAACGTAGGTCGCCGATATTGCGCAATATCAGGACTAGACACACCAAAGAAATGACCCGGACAGTGAAGTATATGCAGGGGGGGTTGCTTTCGGTCTCGGGCCGAGGCAGCCTCACCAAGATTATGGCCCAAAGGGGGGGTTTTTTAAAATAAATAAGTAATTTTTTCGAATTCGATACGCCAACGCCCTTACGATGCATGTGAATGCTGTTAGAGCAGGCTAGTAACTATCGTCGCGGTCGTCCTCTAAGTGGTATCCAAATAAACGAGCAAATGGTATCTCTCTATGCTGCAAGACATAAGATAGAAGAAACAAATAGAAAATGAGCGTAAGTGACATCAGAGTCGTAATCGTCATTAAATAAGTTGTTGGTCGTAAAAAGAGAGGGTCACTTGGGATCAGTGACCGGCATAATATAAGTGAGGCTTTATTTCTTCAAGCCGACTTTGCCAGCCAGATTGCGCCAGAAACTTTTACGGTCCGCGCCATCGAGGGACATCATCGTCGCCTCTCGAACCATTGGGCCGACGATATCCTCGTCGCCGCGCTCTGGAAACTTTCCCTCGGCGTAGATTCTCGGAACGGTAGTTAAAACGTCTTCATCAAACTTGTCGCAAATGATCGTTTCGCCAGAAGCAACGATCGCCTCGGCTATCTCATCGTGGAGATTACGCCAAGTCCGCTGGGTCTCGGCCCATTTGGCTTCCGTAAGTGCGTAGGTTTTAGACGTTTGGCCGTAATGCTCGCCTGTTCGCGCGAGGTGTTTAGTGTAGTTTACTCGTGCTGTCTCCCAGTCCGCTCGGAATCGTCGTAGAGCATCTAAGTCGACGGTTTCGGGCTTGTACGGTTTTGGGACAATCGTGTAATTCGCATGTCCTAGACGGTCAGACCAGGCATCTGGCGCGGGAAGTTGGGGAAGCTCTACTGCGCCTGGTACAAGACGGAGAGATGAATTTGAGGGCCTCGTGCTAAGTGGCGGAGATAGTAGACCAGGCGAATAAACGTCATCCCCTACTGGGGAAGCTGGAGAGGCGACGCTCGGAGATTCTAACGGAGAGGGTTGCATCAGGATGTGCTCGGTCGAAGTAGAAGCCATCATAGGTGGTAGAAGCGGTGTTACTGCCTGCTTCCGCTCATGCTCGATAGCTGAAAGGACGTCGTGGGTTTGCTTAGAATCGATAGTCCCATCCAAGGCGATAAAGCTGTCGCTACTCCCAAAACGTGACAGGGCAGGCGTGGGGGGGACGACGGGTTCGTTTGAGCGGTCGCGATGGTGCCGGCTGGGTGCCGAGACTGACGAAGATCGACTTGAAGTTGCTCGAGACAAGACTGGTCGCCGCTCAAACGCGTAGTCGGATACAGGAGAACTAATGATACTAGACGGCTTTGTCGTTTTCCACCTGGTAAAAGACGGGAATCTGGAACCCAACCGCTGCGAGAATCCTGCAAGTGATGACTCGGAGTTGTCTCTACGCTTCTTAGACGAGCGCAAACTAAAACTGAAGTCGCCGTCGCTGAAGAAACCTAGGTCATAGTCGCCCACACGACTTTGGGTATAGAAATTCGATGTGCTCTGTACTAGATCAGCATCCCTGTGGATGCAAGGCTCGTCACCTATAATTTGAAAGTTGTTAGAACTGAGAGCAATGGGACAGACTCTAGGCGAGTGCAATCGCAACGTACATAAACAGTGGTATAACCCAGACGCATCATCATCGTCATAATCTGATTCGGATTCTGAGTCTGATGAGTCTTCGCATTCTATGGGTTCTTCTTTCACGTCCGGTAGTATGCGTTTGCTCGAGTTCTGCGCTGTTTGCGTTTGTGTTGGCGACGAAGGGCTCTCGGAGCTCGCTACCGTTGCGAGGTCGAACGACGACATGGAGCTGGAGTAGCGCAAATGACCACGCGTCGAAAACGTCGGCGTCACTGGTGATGTCGCGTCGGATGAGAAAGAGTCTGTGGTATAGAAATTGTACGGTACGTCGACTTCCATCTCGCGTTGGGCCGCCTCTTCCTCCTCTTTCCTTCGTCTCTCCTCCACCAACAAGGGCAACTGTAGAGGTCGTAATTTAGGAGACATGTTGTAAAAAATCGACACAATCCTGGCGTACTGCAACAATTACGGCGGCAGCTTCACGTAGTCGCGTTATCGTTGTTGGTATATGTAAGTTCGTGGTGATGCTTGGTGGGGGTGATAATACGTCAGGGTAAATACAGCATCCAGTATTCTTGGCAGCGCTACGCTGGGGAATAGATTGTCGATCGACAAGACGGAGACGGGGAAGCAAAGGGAAAGAAGAAAAAAAAAGTGTTTCTTCTTTCGGCCCTAATAAACCAACTTCAACGTCTTATAGAAAGATAAAGGACCTGGTAACAAGACGACCCTGAGGTTATGCTGGTATCCAAATCTCGTGACAGGTATTCTTGGAAAAATGCCCAATTGCATACAAGTATATACGTGTACCAGTGGACGCTCTACCTTGCCCTATCGACGTTCGGGTAGTCACACTGGTCCACGTGTTCTGGGCACTGTAGCTTGGGTGTAGCTTGGGTGAGGTAGCTTGGGGTAGTTGAGATTCGTGGGGTTGTAATCAGGCTCCTGGGCCGTCTCGAGAATGTATACCGCTTCGCCAATCAACTAGATAGTATCACGCCGATACTGACACACAATCCCCTGGCCTTCTAAAAGGTCGTCCCTCTCTGCACCTTGACAAAATTGATAAGTCTGCGAGCAGCGTACGACATGAGCCAATAAGTCTAGACGAGCGAGGCGTTGCAGTGATATATCGTGCGAGTCCAAGTTGACCGTTATTATTCCCCAGGATCTCGGGTCAGACCAAAGAGCTTGTTTATTGGCAGTTCCCAGGCGTCACGGTTGTATTGTGCGAGGGTGGGTAGGAGTGAAAAGGAGGAAACCCGTACGTATGAAAGATTAAGGGAAAAGGCCTTTTTTTTCTTTTCTTCTGTTTTGGCTCGAGTTGGAAGGACTGCAGCAGGGTGCACTAGTTGGCTGGTGAGCGTGGGAAAAACGGGATCGAGCGGGTGGCTTTACACTTAGACCATGCCATGTGTATGTGTATGTGTATGTGTATGTATTCTCCCCCTTTGAACCTGTATAGTGTATGTATTATGGACGGGTCCACTGAGGCCGGCCCTACCGCCCCGCCGTCTTGGACTCTTTGACATTTTGCAGTCTTCCGTGGAATCATGAGCTTTGCCCTTTTTTTTTTCCCTTTTTTTTTTTTTTTTTAACTAATCCTTGTAAATCTTAGCTTGCTCAAGAGCCCGACCAACTGGGATGACACCTCGACCGCCCAGGCTGCTTACAGGTTAAGCTTAACAGCAGGGGTCCGGGGAGAGCTTCCACCAAGCTACTGGTCCGCTCGGAGGCAGTGGACTGTAGCCAAGAAAGAAGGAGAGGGTCTTTCTGGCGGCGGCCGTGTATTCTAACGATTCAGGTAATGATTCTAATAGAGTACATATGTACATTAGGTAGTAAGGTAAATGCAGCCACGCACGATACGTAGTGTTTCCACAAAACCGAACAATTCTTAGCCAGCCGACCCAGAGAAGTTGAGCCCCGATGCTCCCTGACGTTCCCAGCGCTCCCTCTAGTGTACCGGAATCTCTACCTTCAATCTTTCTCCACCGCCTAGAAAAAAGGCTGAGCCCCTACATACATACATGCCCCTACGTGTCCCAGTCCTCACATGGTCAAAACGAACCTAAGCCAAATAAATAATAGGAGACATATACCTACGCAGCCGCAACTATACATATGCTAGTTGAAAACACGAGAGGAGGTTGGGCGAGGCAAGGCTTGTTTGTGGTCTGTGTGCGAACCCCATGTGAAGCCGAATGATCTGTTGAATTAAGGAGATAATCGATCTCGTGTTCTATATATCTCGGTTCTTAAAAGCCAGATGCAGCAATACCCTCACTACTGTAAGTATTACGCAAACCCGAGAGCTACTATAAATGCAACAGCTTGACGCAATTATGATCTTTACCTTGATACCTTGATACCTTGTGGACAGAACATATGATTATGGTCTACGGATCCGTACTTACGCCATAATGAAAATGTTTTTCAGATTCGTACATACATACATACATACCTCATACACTATATGCATACCTAATGTACCTACACACGTATTTCGACTTTCCCTTTCTTGGCTACTTGATGGTCCCGGCTTCGATTCCTGGTGGCCACGCCGTATACACGCGGTACCCAGTTGCCTAGTTGAGCTAGGACAGGGGTGTAGTTCAACCTCCATCGGATTAGCCTACATCGGATTACCACCCTCACGCGCCGTCGAATTGGGCTCAAAGCGCAAGCAAAGCGCAAGCTTGTTAGTGCAGGCTTGTTAGTGGTGGGGACCTATGGAACGAAAACCGTAGTACAGTGTGTATATTTTACTACTATTTAATAGTACATGATGCCAGAGGGTAACCTGGTGAGAATAGAAGAGCATTCAAGTACTTAAGTATTGCCAATACTGTGTCTCCAGTCCGTCGTTCGGGGTCAGGATATCGGAGAGAGGCAGGTATTTGACTCAGAAAAAAAAATTTCATGCGGACAACTGTCGGGGTGAGACAAAGCAGCAGACGTAGAAAGGGACGAAGGCTTCTCATTTTAAGGGTAACTATTATTATATCTCTTAATAGTATGGCTGACACAACATAAGCATCATTAGTTAGGTATACTATATATTTACTACATAGAAATTTACTACATATTTCAATAAACCGAAAATAATATCGGAGAAATTAACCAAGGTACACTTTTTCGGAGTCTCATGTCAAATTCTTCGCGCTGCACATACCCCGGCGGTTATGTGAAGTCCGGACTCGGTGAACTAGCTTACAGCACTACATACCAGGACGTGTTTCCTCGGGGAGAGAGTAGGCAATGGCCCGGGCGGTTTAGGTCACATCGGCTGACGGATCTAGGTATTGCCATGTCTTTTAACTGCCGAGAAGAGACGCGCTTAACTAGAATAGAAAGTCGCGTTGTTTTCCTAAGCGCAGCGTGACGCGGTGAGGGTGAGCGAAAGGATCAAAGCGAACGTACTAGGTATGCAGAAACAGTGCATTCAGATTTCCTCTTTCTTCATAGACCGACCCGGCACTGCTATATAGTTGGACAGGATCAAAAACTAGTAGTTATCTAACCAAGTGACGCTTTCGAGAACATGGGAGAGAAACAAACACTTGGTGACCGCCCTATCCGCCTTTCGACCGACGCTCAAAAAACTATGACACATAAGATGATGTACGCCCACGCCTATATACAGTAGATACTGTATCTTCTACTGTTCTTTTATGTAACCGTAACTCAGTAAAGACTTTAAATCAACCTAGCATACTTTGGTTTTTTTTCATCAGCTGTGAAACACAAACACGGATGCAAGCTCACATAGCCTCAATAGGAGAGGTCGTCCATGGTTGAACTTCTCGGTCTTAGCCAAGCCTATCTCCCATCAGGAATATTACATGACTCGTCCGCATCTTAATCGAACGCTTTCAATCTGTATAGTTATACCTTTAGATGAACTTTATCTCAGTCAAGTCGCAAGTTGATTTTGCAGCCGTCTTTCCAGCCGCAGCTGACTGTTTCTTAAGCACGTATCCTTGAACGCCCCGTCCCGTCAACTGTCGATACCCTCCCGCTACGTCTTGACTAGATTGATCGCCGATAACCAGCAAGTCGAAGCGGAGTGCTCTGCCACTGTGTGTTCGTGTAATAGTCTCATTGTACTCCGTTTCACTCTGCTTCTCCGCCCTCTCTGATACGCAGTGCTACGATGACTTACCTACTTATAACCAGCTGCTTGAGCTCGTTCTAAGCTGTGCACCACCAATGAGAGATCTCTAGATGCGCTCCGTCACGCTATTCGATAGCGTGGTTCAAATTCCGCATATAAAATTGAGATGCTGTCGGAATTGGTAATAAGATTCGTACAGCAGCCTATATTCACTTTGTCAGGATACACGTACTCAATACTACTACCTCTTACGTGCCAGGTTTCGAGGTCTGATTAGTCGTGCGACTCCCTCGTTGATCGAGGTCTTCAAATTAATTCATCTGGCCTGCCCATTTAACAGGTCCATTCAGCAACAACCTCAAGTAACCGAATATCCAACCTTAAGAGAGCAATGGTCATCTTGCCTTGTGGTAGGTAACGCAAAGACCTGTCGTGCTCAATCTAGCGGGAAGCTTCAAAAGCTTCCTAGCTTATCTGCATTGGTGGAATCGAGCTTCTAGGTACTCTTGTCAAACGTGCCACAACTCGTGACAGTCGTGATATTATCCGCCGATCATGACACACGCCTACTCGAGAAGAACTATCCTAGAAACCCCCTTAGCTAGTATGGACACAATCATCGAACCTACAGCCTGCCTCACTTCCATGGGCGAAACCCCCTAACGCGTCTAAACTACCTAAGGTAGGTAATGGAATGATTTACCACATGTAGACTATAGGTAGTCTCCAGCAGGTTGTTAATACGTCACCTCTACGACAATGCGAGAGCGGACATTTTTAAGAAAGTCATGAGTGGGCCGAAGCAGAATCATCCCGGCGACGTATGTACCTAGGATCTAGGGTAGGTAGGGGCAACTATCTCGTTAGTTCATCCGCGAGATAGAAACCCCCTAAGCAGGCATTGAACGACACCAACAATTTCTGAACGACTTCTTTGTAAGCACCAGAAGCCAATGCCGATCGCGTAGGTTACATAGTACGTAGCCTATCCGTAACGCAGTCTGCTGCTCGCTCGTACCTTGCATTAGCCCTAGTTGAAATGTAGGGCCATGCCACATGCCTATTTGACGAGCGCAGCAAATATCGATACTTGCACACCACATTAACCATGTCTTCCCGAATATATTTATTGCCGTACTCCTGAAGATCGATCTTAGTAGCTTTTGACGAAGGCTTACGGGATACAGGATCTAAGCATCCCAAGTGGATACAAGAGCCTCGGAGGAAAATGGGCTAGGTACGGCATTTCTAAAGGAGAAAAAAAATTGTTCTCTTCCACGATTCATGTGGAGTCCGCTATCACTTAACACAGTTATAGCATCTAAACTAAACTGCGGATCCTACAAGCGTGATCCAGACGGCACCGTCGGTTTTTATGGATAGGCAAGTTATTCCGAACGCTAGTAATGTTCTAGGCTATCAACTATTTTCTCGAAGCTGGATAGGTTGTTATCTTAAGCACGACTCGACTATGGCGTTACGGGCCCGTAAAAACTCATATTAGACATTCCGATGTTTACGCAACGGACAGTTTTCCTGCTATCTGTCTGGCTTACGGGAATTGCTGACCGATGTAAGACTTACATTACTAATGACAGGCCGTAGGATTCATAAGATTGTTAAAGGTAGTTTTAAGTCCATGCTCTCATATACCTTGAAGGGTTTAATAATTTTTTCAAGTTAAGATCCATTTAAATGTATCCCCTATATGTAGTACCCTGAAAGTCGATGCGCAAATTGTTCCTACCAGATTTACGCTTATATCCAGTTACTCGTCAATGGCATATGCTAGGTAGAGGTGCATTTCTATCCCGTATTGTGGGTTCCCAGAGGCCCCAAACCGCGGTCGAGAGCTCCCCGTCCCCTCCCTTACGATCCCGAGCCAGTGCACTGGGCCATTGAACTACTGGCACTGGATAAATATGACGTCGTCAATCCTACGACAAGATTACTCGAATACAAGGTTTCAATGTCCCACGATGCCATCATTGTCGCTGTTCCTCCTCACATGGAAACAGAGGGAGGTGCCGCATCCACACCACTGCGGTCAGGTAGTCGATATCTCATCACCCTTATGTATGTGCGACACACCCGCCCCGTAGATACACCCGGAGATACGGTCGTGAGATTTGATACGACGAACGGGTAGTTCCTTTACTTTATCCGTCTAAGTACTTCGGTTCCCAAATACATACTATGTACTATCCAACGGGGACAAAACCTCGGGTTAGGAACAGGGCCTCTTGGTATGAGTGATCATAATCATAAGAGCTATAATTGGTTCGAAGCCTATGTTGCATCCCCCACAAGGTCGTAAATCCGAACCTGCACGTATGTATGGTGTGACGGACGGTTGCAGCAAATGATAGCGACTCTCTACCTTAGGTACCTAGACATGATATTGCTTTTCCCCATTCAGAGTCACGTCAGTGGCGCTTTTAGAGCCAATCCTCCCACTTGATATCTCGTCTACTGCTGACCATCCAGTCGGGTAGATGCGCACTTCTCCGGATCTCGAAGAGCTTGGGTGGTCAGCGAGCTCGAGTGTGCTACCCAAAGAAACCTTCGCAATGTGATAAATTTATTTCTATTTTATGCCTGCCATTTCGGCCCTTAGTTTTTGCGAGTCGAAAGAAAACCCGAACTCAAGATCCATCTCGTTCATTCATGATAGGAGCACCCACGTGTATACCAGGGATAACAGTGGCTCCTCCCGACTGATCCTTTGGAACGGCTACAACGTGTACATACCTAACATACACTAGGTACGCACATAAAATACTGGGTAATCCTTCAGCCGAATCCCGGATATGGTTTCCCAAGCCCATGGATTGATTCGAGGATCAATGCAATTCGTACATGGGCCTGGGAAAGGTAAATTACGTGCGGTGCTGGTGTGGCACGGGGTACTGTGTCGATGGGAACGTCGCTGACGTTAGATATCTGTTATGGTATTAAGAAGGGGGTAGAGTTCCCTACTTTATTTTCATATGTTCTACACTACCTGCGTATGTAGCTCTCATCTCACGACCTACGGGTTGGTGACATTTTCTTCCAGAGCACACGTTCATCCGAACAGTTTTCGGGATAACTTATGCGGTTTACTTACGAGCCAGCTCTAGAATTTCTCAGGGCCTCGACTTGACCTCATTTAGCCTGAACCGAGGGCAAAGAACAAGGAAGACTCTCTAGTTTCTTCGCGGCTCGTAGGCCAGACCAGACCGAAGAGCTAATGCAAGGGACGATGTCACCGTATAGTGTAAAAGCGTGGGATAATTCTGTAAACTACCAGGGGTTGCGTTTGTGTGGCAGCTCCCAATTCGCCTCATGTTATCAGCGTCTAGATAGCTTCTCTGATTTATCGTCTCTTCTGTTTATTTGGAGCTCAAGGTAGCATATATCACCAATTCCTCACCAGAACGAGAGTGAATGATACTGTTGGCGGTTTGAATTACGAACCAAGGCAATTAGGTACCTAAGCTACATACTCTGCTGGGTTCGTATGGCAACGATCCTATTGGAGATACTACATAGTACTCGTACCTGCACATAATACGTAGTAAATTTTTCTTCTTTTTCTTTGGGAAATCCCTCCCATTTATTTTCCTTTTTTTCCTTTTTCTATTGGTTTACCCCAGCCCCGTCACGGCCGGTGCGGGCTAGACGGGCGGGAATGTGATGGAACCCCTCCTAGACGCATGGTTCAGCTGCAAGGTACGAAAGCCAAATCACATCGGGCTGACGAGAGCTGCCGCGAAGTTTTACCCTATTTAGAAGGGAGCGAAAAAGTTTTTCTCTCTTCTCGGAGCACAGGGTTGAGAGAAGTCTATGTAGAAACGTGTTGGTTTCTTCTGTTAAGATGCCTGCTGCGTACATATCGCCGACCAAAGTTAGACCCTAGTCGCGTAGCCGTCTAGTGGCGAAAGGCTTCCCGGTTTGTTTATCTCAAGAGTCTCAGATTGCCTACAGCGGCTTGCTGCCGGATCTAGAATTAATAAAAGAAAATTCCGCAGGCTACCCCGGGTCGTGTCAGCTTCCGGGCGATCAACGTTTGGCGGTAGGGACTGGTGACGCCATTCGTTAATTATATCGCGTGGGGGAACATGATCGTACACTAGCTATCTTTATCGAGGTTCTTATTCAGTGGCTGAATAATGTGTAGGTCAGATAGCTATTTGGTGAATGCCAAGCTCGTCGGCAACGCCCAAGGCGTCTTTTATTGCTCGTACAGCTGCCAGACGATATGAATATCATGAGATTCGTAAGAATCGACAACTATTGACGAGTTATTATTAAGTAACGAGTATGTGAACTAGGGTCTTGGAAATGTAAGGTTCCGAATGCACATATACATACTCTCTCAATGTAACAACGCATTCAAAAGTCTTTCTGTTCAGTTTAACGGGAATGTCCAACGAGGCTTTTTTTTCCTCCTTGGTCGAAGCCCGGGTGGACGGTCAATAAGCAACTAGTCGCAAAGCAGCAAACACTTTCTAATTGAGGCGGTGAATGCAACCCCCTTTGACAGCTCCTACGTGTCGATCAAGATGTGGCACCGCAGGAATTAATTAATATATGCAGGTACGGACGAGGAAGTCCTAGACGTCGGAGGGGAATTTTCCGGGGACTGCATCTATTGGCGTCGTTGCGTTCTTTCTTCTCTATTCTCTTCATGACTGTTCTTGGTTCGGTAACCGTCAGCGGTTGAGGTACTATATCTTGATTCGTTGGCATTTGAGGGGTACGGATCTTCTCGGCGCCTAAGATAGGTAGTCATAGAGGATTACTAGTACGTAGATAGTAAGATGTTGCGGTAGCTAAATCAGCACAGCGCAGTACGGTTTGGGGGTTTGCATGCCCTCGTTTTTCGAGTATCTGTTCGTCTTTGAAAGAGCCCGAGTGCTTTACGTCGTGTATCTATGTTCGATGCTGATATAAGCGTAAAATATCATGATATTCCTTGATAGCAAACGGTATGGATATTCTCAAGGCTCACAGCTATGATGAGTGCCTATAAGTCTTCTTTAAAATGAGGCCGTACGTATGATCACTTTCAAGCACAATAGGTGTCGGCAAAAAGTGAAAGCACGCCTTAATGGTCTAGTTAGATCGATGTTTATATAGAAGGATCAAGAGAAGAGATAGCATAATGGTTTTTTAATCTCTGTAGAGCTAAAATAACTCATAATGAGTTTAACAGGTACGTAGGTAGTCATAAGAGGGAAAACTATACTTCCTCGGAAAAGACTTAATAAAGCCCATTTTACTGCCTTCTCCACGCTTAAGAATCGAGTGCCTGTATATTTATCTAAGTAACTCGTCTAGTCGGGTTAGCGTAGCTACATGTGATAACATATTAAACATAAAGCTATCAGATCAAATACTCAGTACGAGATAGGTTCCAATGTATGTGTACTGCAGTGCTACTCTTGACTTTTGATTTGAAGAGTTTACAGTAGAATTATGGTTAAGCTTCTTAACTCCTAGTCTGGCAGGCTTCACGATATCTTCTAGCTCCCTATTTTTAGGTATGACTAGGAGGAGACTAATAAAAAGTAAACAGATACGTTTATGATAGCAATATTTCTTATACGAATTAGTCGATTATGGCAAAACTATCAACCTAGGCGGCTTAGTTATTGGGTAGTTGGGTAGGTATGTATTGGTATTGACTTATAGGCGACTTCCACTCTTATTTTTTAGTTTCTTATGTCAGGAGATACTCTAGCTCTGTCCCCCCCTGGGGAGTACTCTAGACGTCTAAAGCGCCAAAGATGCGCCGCTGTATCTACGTAGGTAGCATAGAGCAGGCCAATAGACATAAACGTTATCATCATCATCCACTCTTATTTTACGCCACGCCCAACTCTTATGTCCAATAGGGTATTGAAGTTTTATTCTTCATTATAGTAGCTATACTCCTGGATACCTTACGATAATCCTACCTACCTACCTACTTACTCCTGTCTATTGGGAGTTCGCTAAGATAACGGTGCGTATATGTATCTCACTGATATCTGCTAGCTATTTAAAATTGTTAAGTCGTTCTATTACTTTAACTTTTTCCTTTTAGAGTCGTTGTTCTAGACTAAGTACTACGTCAGAGATACCTCTTAGGATTGGAAAAGTACCCAGGCGGTTTATTCATTATATTGTAAGGAACTCTACGCGTAAGCTCTCATTCTGAATTTTCTCTTTTCACTTGTGTTTCCTGTCGGGAAGGGTATAGTGTTATTCTAAACCTAAGGAGTATCAATGCATTTATTATGAGACCACGTTTTGCGATGCTAATTAGGCTCTTTGAAATATATTACATTCAAAGGCTGCTTACTACTTTCATAAGAGAAAGTTCTATTGCGAGTTGATGAATATCGTATTTAATCGATATTATAGAAAATGAGAGTATTGGTACCTGAATCATATTTCTACTTGATGCTACCTGTGACTACTTAAGCGCTACACCATCATTGTAATATCCCTTCACTTATCAAAGTATCTTAGTAGTAAATACCTACCATGCTTCTCGATAAACCCCGACACCCCAGTTTATGTTTCTCACTAGCAAAAGTTGAACTTCAGAGTGAGATATTGGTAACTATAGAATTGCTAGAGCACCTACTATAGTATTATGGTATACTTTAGGTACCTGGGTAGGTATTTGAGTTGTCGGAGTGGAAAACATCTTGACATATAACGGCCGAGTTCCAGCAATCAATTGTGCCGCATGTGTATTAGGAGTCCCGAAGTGCTAAAGATTAAAGACATATATGACGGGCAGTTAACGAATAATGTTTTTATTACATGTAATGTGGTTTTGTTAATCCGATGACATGAATTACCGTATCTCATCATATACATTTCAAGTTTAGTTGGAAATATATCCTTTTCCGATAACCTTCAACGCCATGCCTATGTACGAAAAGAATATTACCGAGTCGCATCAATGGCCTCTTCTAGAATATTTAACCCACTCTCGATTTCATCCTGGCTGACTGTGAGAGGTGGGACGAATCGGAGTGTGTTTGTCCCACAAGTGATCACCAGCAATCCCCTCTCTCGGGCGGCCTTTACTATTGGCGATGGATCTTGGGTCAACTGCACGCCAAGGATTAAGCCCTTGCCACGAATCTCAGTTATAAGGTCTGGGTATCGTTCTCGCATGCGCTCAAACCGCTCTACGAATATCTTGGACTTGGAAAGGACATCTTGCTGCAACTTAGGGTCCGAGAGCTGTGAGACTACATAGTGCGCGAGGCGACACGCTATCGGATTGCCGCCGAAGGTCGTGCCGTGATCGCCAATCTTGATCTTCTCGCTAACGTGATGGTTGACTATAGTAGCACCAATAGGGAAGCCATTTCCAAGTGCTTTCGCCGTAGTGAGTATGTCCGGGTGTGCCTCCTTGGGTAGGTGGCCGTGGGCCCAGAGCGTGCCGGTCCTCGACAGACCGCATTGGATCTCATCATAGATGAGAACGGCACCTACTTCGCGGCACCGCTTCGCTAGGGCGATAAGGAATTGGTCGCTGGCAACATTGACACCCCCTTCGCCTTGGATGGGCTCGATTATCACACCACACGTCTTATCCGTCACGAGGTCACTGATGGCGTTGATATCGTTATACTTCCCATACCTGAAACCCGGTAGCATCGGCGCAAATGGTTCTTGGTATTTAGGGTTCGGTGTCGCAGAGAGACTCCCCATAGTCCTTCCGTGGAATGATTGATAGAAGGAGACGAATTCGTGCTTAGCACCAGTAGGATCCAACACCTTGCCAACTTTTCGAGAAAATTTAATTGCGGCTTCGTTAGCCTCAGAGCCCGAATTGCAGACGAAGACGGTCGCGGCGTCATGCATAGCACCCGATGCGACGGTTTTCTCTACTAGAAGTTGGGAAAGCGCTCCAGTCCAGGGGTTGTAGTAAAGGTTGGATGCATGCCACAGTGTTTTCGCCTGGTCCAAAAGAGTCGATTAGCATAGAAATCATACAGGAATCATATAAGGAGACGAGAGATGAACTGGCGAATGGGTTCGTACCTGATCTGAGATGACCTTCGCTAGGCCGGCATCACTATGACCGAGCGCATTGACAGCAATGCCGGCGGTGAAATCTAGATATTTACGGTTTTCTAAATCCCATAAGTACGAACCCTCTCCTTTCACGAATACCGGAGGTGGCCTGGCATAAGTTGCCAGCATAAATTTGGAATGCTCCTTCACTAGGGCAGCACTGGCCGAGTCGTCAGACGGATCGGGATTTGGCAGAGTTGCCTCGCGAACGATGGTCTCTTTGACATCTCGCGGGAGATTGGACGCTGCTGTCGCCTGAGAGGAGAGGCGTCTAGCCGTAACATATGTGAAATGTCGAGTAGGAATTCGAAAAGCCATGATGAACATCTCGAGGCCGGTGTAATACTGGTTAATACTGGTCAATATCGAAGAACAATATCGAAGAAGCTTGTCGACTTGACCGGCCTGGAGCTGAACAAATAAAATACCTGGGTAAGGTAGTAGAGTTAGCAAGAAGTAGAAGGAGGAGTAGATATCGAGAGGAGCTTCGATTGGAGCAATTAGGACGCAACCCACTTACAAGATATTAAGTATTAAGTTAAGAGGTAGGTACCTACCTAATATGTACCTCACCTTCTTCCAAATCGAGGTAGAAAATGATGCGCAAATTGTTACTGTATCGCTATATCGATAAGAAGCTAGCCTCTAGCCTAAATATCGGTCCGATCTCGCATTGGAACATTGGAGGAGGAAAGAACTAGAGTTGCGCTCTTATGTAATAGGCCAGCAAGAGGAGGGGCTTGAAGGTACCTCCTATGTAATTGAGTTTTGCTTGAGCCACTCGAATCCATCTTTTCTCAACCTCCCATTCCCACTATTTGAACATGAATGCCAAACGAGACTACTTCGAGCCTTTAAGTAGGTATCTCTCACTGATTTTTGTTGAATTCGAGTCGTTCGGTCGTGTTCCATGGCTTCTATCCTTGAGAATGTCAGAGATGGAAAACAACAGCGCGTCAATTGCCTAACAAGGCTTTCGAATTTAACTCCCTTTAGGTACCTAACGTAACCAATCCAAGAGAGCCCGATAGTATACGGTCTGACTCGGAAACCAATATATATATACCTAGGTAGGTATATATATATTGCGGCAGTTCGTGGCTTAGTACGGTCAATCCGCTTCATCTAAGTCACGATGGATTCAACAAGGCGTCACATGCGATTTCCTCGGATTACGGGTCTTGTTGGAATGTCGTATCGCACAGGTTTCTCCAAATCTCCAACGCGGGGTTCCAACTAAGCCCCTTGGTGAAACCCCCGGACTCCAGCGAGCTCGACAGGCTTGAACCCGCTAGAGAACTAGGCGAATGTGGGGGTGACCCTGCTTTATTAGTTGCCCCCAAACCGACTTTCACATGTCAGGCTCGCGTTTTGTATCCTAGATTCTCGCCGCAAACGTCATCAGAAGAGCCGATAGGTTCCAGGTTTCATCCCAGGCCACCATTCACGAGCTTCAAATTCATTACTATCATGTCAGCTTCGGCCGGGAACCCACAATGCCTCTATCCTAGCGGTCGATATCATCTTTTTAGTCCTCGGACCTTATGCTACGAACCCGTTCCTATTGTCTGCTTCCGAATGCCCTTGGAGCCTGTCAGCTTGCCATCCGAACTCTCCGTCTAGCCCGTCTGCTACTTGTACCCCCAGTCCCCAACTTGGGTTTCCTTGTAAATCGTTGTAAGGAACTATGCTGTATTTCACATGCCGCGTGACTTCGCGAGAGCACTTTGACTAGGTGGTCTCAGCCTAGACTTCCCTTGTTGTTTTGCTTTTCGCACGAATTAAATGGCTATGCCAACTCATATGCCCTAAAGTTACCATAATTCCTTAAACTCTTAATCTTCCTTCCTCCGTTCGATGGGCAACTCGGGCTACTATTACACAGCATGATCGATCACGTTCTCGGTAGACCTTCCGTAAAGTCGCGCAGGCTTCAGGTACTTGCTGTGCTGACTTTTTGGTCCCTATATCTTTATAAGTAAGGACTCCGTGTCAACATGCGGAATAGTCTCGCTAACGATGGCTTAGGGGGAATCGACATGGCCCGCCCGTTGCTCGATACTTGTCTAAGGCCTCCTCGAAAGTACTGACAGTATGGCAGACCGTCGTTCTAACCATGATGTATTTATACGCAGCTCGGAACTTCAGCACCCTCGTCGGGCTTGCTAGCCCTGAGCCTATGGCGAACATGTACGATGCTAAGTATTTTCGCGCAACGTGGGTTTTGACTGCGCTCGATGCGGGTTTTTGGACGGCCATGAAAATAAAGAAGAAATGGATACGAGATATAGCTAGCTTAGCATTCTCCCTCTTTTATCTCGTGGCGGCAGAACGCGCGGACGAGAAGGTTAGGAAAGTTCGAGGTGCGTTGACTGTCGATCACCTACGGGTAAGCTGGAACAAGGGCACCACGCCATATCTACGAGCCGTTCAAAACTTGATGCGCCCCCGTTTCACACGGTGGCCGCCGCGAGCGATTCGTATCCCTCGGCCTAGCTCTAGCGATTACAAAGAACCGGTCTCTGGGTGGTTGTATTACGATGGGCCGATATCCGACTTGGAACACATCAATAAGATGATCTTAGACATCCCCGGAGGGGGCTTTGTAGCTATGGATCCGCGATGCAACGACGACAAGCTCTTCGCATGGGCCGGAAAAACCGGCCTTCCAGTGCTCAGTCTAGATTATAAGAAAGCACCGGAGTTCCCGTATCCGTACGCCCTGAACGAGTGCTTCGATGTGTACACGACCATTGCCAGAAGCAAGGGGAGGTGCATAGGGATGTTAGGCACAGAGACCCCGAAGGTAGTGGTAACGGGTGATAGCGCTGGTGGAAACCTCGCAACAGCCATGACTTTGATGATAATCGAGAACACCATAAACCGACGTCAATCTCCGACTCAGGCGGAGCTTCCTCTTCCTGTCGGGCTTATACTTCTCTACCCTGGTCTGGATATGAACATCGGGAACTGGATGTCTGACGAGCAGATGTCTTTAATTAAGGACCGGCGGGTGCGAGCGACGAACAAGGACTACCTACGCCAAAAGAGTATACAATACGACGACTTAGTGGGAACTCCTCATCAGTCCGATGATGAGGATGAAGAGCCTTCTGGTGAAAAACTATCTACGTTGGATACCGTTACTGAAGATGGCGGACTTCGTAGCCCTCAGCCTGAATACTCTCACGCCAATCGCCAGACCTGGGCGAAATCCGAACAGCCGACCCTGATCTCAAACCGGACCGCCAAGTCAATGTCGCATAGGCCCGAACCAATGAAGACGCGCTTGGCCATGGCATCCATGATCTCCTATTTCAATGACCGGGTTCTTACCCCTGAGATGATGCGTGCGATGATAATCTTGTATATCGGGCCTCACAACCGGCCCGACTTTTCGCAGGATTACCTCCTATCTCCTATCTTGGCCCCTGATTTCCTATTGCAAAAATTCCCGAAAACCTACTTCCTCACTGGCGAGCGTGATCCTTTAGTCGACGACACAGTCATCTTTGCCGGGCGCTTACGCCGCGCTAAGCATGCTTACCATTCGCAGCGCAGCTCTCAAGGGACGAGAGATCTAGATGATATTACGGACTTCGATGAAAAGGACGTCGCCGAGATCGTCCTGATCCCCGGTATTAGCCATGGCTTCACGCAATTCCCGAATTTGTACCCACCTGCGTGGAAGCTGATCGATCGCTGCGCGCGATGGGCGGTGGACGCTCTCGATGCAGCGGAGACGCGCATGAAACGTGAACAGCAGAGCTTGTCGCAGCGTTATCACGCACGTGCTGAGTCTAGCGGCGATGAGGATCGGCCACTCGAGATAAATATGACAAAAATGCGGTCCCGTACCATCAGCGATAGCGCCAAGCTGAAGCCAAATAGCTCTGAACCAACAGGAGAGGATATCAACGCTGACAAGCCGAGCGGAAACACGAAGAAGAGAAGATCTAATGGGCGGTCCGGAATGGGACAGAAATCTAAGAGCATCACTAAACTAGGTAGTTCAGAAGATCTACTCGGACGACGTATGCAAGGCCTTGCTAGTTCTCTGACCGGGACACACGATGAAGATTGAGCGCACCTGGTGGTGGTTAAGTTAAGAGAATACCGGTGCTATTTCCACTTGATAGCGAGTAGAGGCATAAAGCCGATGTATCAAGTCCTCCTTAGTTCCACGCTGAGATTTGCGAAGAGCCTGATCAAGATATTCCATGAGTCCGGTGTCTACCTGAGTTCTCATCTTCCCGGAATAAAACAAGACATTTGGCCGATTACCGAAATAATTCAGCCTCGTATTTATCAGCATCTTTCTAGAGGAATGCCCCCCAAAAGACAATGCTGTTAGTTTTCTCTCGTGCAAATGTTGAGAATAGCTTCCATACCACTTATTCAAATCTGCAGCTCATATATAGAGGTTTGGATTATTCAATGATGGGCATATATTGCGTCGAGTTAGGTACCTGTTAACCGCTTAAAATCCCCTAAAGTCGTACATCTTATGCAAATATTAGAGTCGCACATTTTCTCGTCACTACACTCTATCGAAGGTAATAATAGAAAACACCTATATATAGATCAGGTAATTACCTGCCTTATTGTTATAGAGAATTGTAAAGGCAAATAATGATTTACCTATTTTATTCAGTATTTCGTAAAGATGATTATAATGCCAAGGCGAAAAGCCGGTATCATTAACGATGGTATTTTAGAGAACCAGAGCGTTGTCAAAACATACTGAGAATAATCCATCGTATACTATCGCTAGGTAGGTAGCCTCATGACTGAGTACTGTAACAATTATCTTCACGTCATGGTTTAAGCTGCCTATATTGAACCATGTAAATAGGGGCTGGTATGAGAGTCAACTTAGTCAAATAGGTAGATTGAAGTGAAATAATTTCCCCTTATGGTGAGCCATCGTCGGTCTTTTACTTCGCTTACCGCTCATTTCCTTGGAAACTAAGTTGAATTATGACCACTTTATACCGACAGTGACGCTTGTAGATGAAATACTTAAGGCATTGGGCATACCTGGAGAATTGATATCTATAATAGCATAACCACAGGGGTTGTACCAAATGAGTTCATACCGGTAAAGAACTGCAGGACGAGCGAGCAGAATATTTTCAGGTAGTTAAACGATGTCTACCGGACGCTTGACATGAGCAAATCTACAATGAAAATATTGTTGAAGCTTCTCAGGGAATGGCACTCTAGAGTAGTCTACAGGGGCTGCGTAATTCACCGGCCTTGATAGAACTTTGGGTCTCTCGTATTTATAAACAGGCTGAGAGCAAATTGAGTTATCATTATTCAGTGTACTATGGTGCTCTATCTATCGTACTTATATCGGACGGGCCTTTGATCCCCACGGGATCAAAGGCCCTTTACTAATTACATCTATTGGTTACGAGGCCATTCTATTCATTGTTCACACAGGCAAAATATTCCCTTAGGCGGAATCATGGTTTCTAATGAATTTTAGGGTTAATATCTTCGGTACAGTGCATATTCACCAGATGATCTGCCGAGCCTGTGTATTCCACTTAGTATAAAATAGCTGAAAGCTGTATAGTATCTGCCAACTGCCTCGGATGAATACATTACCGGGCCTGAAAGCCAGTTTCTAATTATAAAAATTTATGACGAGCATTTACTTATTTGGCTACCTGAATATCATATGGTAGAGTGTAGCCTCATAGGATCTACAACCGGTATGCCTCTTTTGACATGATGATAGCACATGACAGCTACTTGTTGTAGCCGCTTGAACTTCTACAATTGGCGTTCGAAACCCTCGGCAGAGCATTACCCGAGGGCGCAATACCCGACTTACTAAGACACAACAGCATGATAGTATCGCGATGTACCGGGTTTGGCGTAATAGTCGCCGTATCAAAAGTTCCTCTGATTTAAGTACGCTTTAAGTATAGGTGGTAACGTTGAATTTCCAATAGGATTGAGGCTGTCACGGTGGCACTCGGAACATCGAGCTGAACATCCTAGCCGTTGGGTTACCAGGGCACAACGCAATCAAGTACCCTTGTTGTTTCACGATCCCGTGTCTTGCAGGAGGGCGTGCAGTATAGAACTCCTTCTCCGTTGCATTTACCAATAAGAATCTCTTCGAAGGAAGCCCGTTGCCTACCCCTCTACTTCGTCCCACCCAGTCGCCTGAAGCAATCGATACCAACGTGCATTGACGGATCAAGCCCTCATAGCCGACAACGGCCTTTGTGGTGTGTATACAGCGTCCATGTAAGGACTCTATCGTAGACGGAATCGGCTAGAGGGCCGATTATTTTGGCTCCGGCAGCTTGAAGATCCGGCAGGTCGCTATATATCTTCCCACACCATCACAGATTACATATGAAGGCGGTTGGGCTGCATACTTGACGGGTGGGTGGCCGAACAATCCTTGTCGAAGTAATTCAAATAGAGCTGAGACCGAGGCAACTCGCCCGGAACAGATATTGTGAGATTTTAGTTTTCCGTGAACGCCACCAAGCCCTGTGTTACTATGTAGATAGCACGTGGAAAAACGACGGACGAGGTTTTGAATCTAGCTAGCACACATCTGGCAGTATTGTTTATTCTGTTGACCTGAGCTAATATGGGCCAAGTCTATCAAACAGCCGTATATCAGACTCGCAAGTATGATTCGTTAGCCCGGACCCTCGGCAACTTGGAACCTGACGAGGTCTTTCTCTACCTTGCCTGTAAGTACATACGAGTGTTACCATGGCGTTCACAAAGGAGGCCGAGGCCGCGGTCAGCAAAGGGAGTGCATTAGTTCCTCAATGCGCCCGCAAATTATGTTCAGGACGTTGCCATATACACGTATTATGCATGTAGGACTAGGGGAATCAAGCCTATTGTAACGCTGAGTATCTGCTACAGTCCGTCGAGTTGAGTTACCTGCCTCCTCCCCCCAATCGAAGCACGGCCATGAGGTATAAGCAACATTTTTACTTCTGAATGCCAACCGTGACAGCCTTTCGATCCGAGCTCCTCCAGCCCAATCGATCCGCCCTAGGTTCGAGACGATATAATGATACCGACTCTTGAGGGACTGCTTATGTCATAAGCTGATCCCCCTTAGGCCCAAATATGTCGTACATATTCCAGAAAAGGGGGGCAGAAAGGAAGAAAAGTCTCAGTAGCGACGGTAAATAAAGTCTTATATTGTTCTCGTGTATTCGGGCACGCCTTGGAAAGACTTGGATTTAGATAGAGTCGAAAACAATAGACCAAAATCGCATACTAAACCACAAAAAAAAGCCCCTACCACATGTCTACTAACACCTTGTCGAAAAATGGGTATTACCGTAGTGATGCAAAGAATGGTATATATATAAATACAGTCGTACAAATGCGTCACGGAACTTTCAAGAGTACTCTCGTCTGAAAGGATAAACGGAGTATTCATTCGTTCGTTCGTTCGTCAAATTCGTAGTCTCGTCGGGTATCGTCCGGCGGGTATTCTCCTCCGCGTTCTAGTGAATTTCTTTTTCTTTTTTTTCCCCTGTGAGAACGAGCTGGGACTTCCTTTGCTGCCATTAGATTATGTTCGCAATGCTGATCCTCTCCGTACTGCGGCTTCCTGACGCCGCTCCAGCAGTCGGGCTATTTCTACTGTTGTCGATTTCGACCGTGCCGCCCCCAAGTATATTCCCTGGTATATTCACGCCTTGTTCCACTTTGATCGGCGGAAGCGTTTGCGCTCGAGGCGCGTAAGCCGTAGCTGGGCTCGCTGCCCCTGATGCTAGACCTCTAGTAAGCTCTATTAAGCTATCCCATCCACCCCAGTCCTCCCTCTCACTTGCGTTTAGGCCCGTTCGGTTGTCCGGATGTGCTAGGCCACCTCCAGTAGTTGACGGAGGCATTGTTAATGGTACCTCGCGCTCCGCCCCGAACCAGACCCAGGCTGTTTCGGTGCTAGCTTGCATATCTGCACTCACGTATGTCAGGAGCTCCTCATCTTTCGACAACGCATCTTGGACGGCTCTAAGATCGGGTAGAGCTATTTGCGGAGCGTAGCTAGGCGTAGCTGAACGTGGGAGGACGGCTAATAATTCACGTTGCTTGGCTTCTAGGATCTGTAGGAAGAATGATAAAAAGCGTCCACAGGGGATGGTGATGTCTCGTCGCGCATCAATCGACTTGAGAGCCCTTAGACACGTGGATGCTAACTCGTAATAGCCCGTAAGAAGTAGAAACAACGTAGAGCGGAATATATGGGTTACTAGAAGGCTTGTAGCGGTATCTGCGAGAGTCGAGTTGATCCTGGCAATTAGATTCGCCGTCTCTATCGCTGTCGCTTTGCATTGCTGAATTGCGTCGTTTCGAGCTTCTATAGGGCAGCCAGGGGCAAGGTTGTGACGGTGTAGAAGCAACCGAATACTAAGGAGGTACGCAAGGGGCATTAGTACATGAGGAGCAACTAGAGAGGTATTATTCGCTTCGCATGATTCTGGAAACATTTTCTGGCAAGCGATAAAGTGGTTGTCGAACGTCGCTAGTCGCGGCGGCTCGATCACGGCACTGGAGAAGGCTTCTCTTACGGCAGAGAAAGACCGTACCACGTTGATTATGCCGTGTAGAAAGTGAGTTAGGGGTATGGCGTTTGGGGGATGTACGGGGCCCTCGGTATGGAGGAAATGATCATCGAACGGCTCGGGGAGGGCTACATCGCAGTCGGCATCGTTGATCATAAAGGGGCGTCCAAAGTCCATGGATAGCGTTCGATCGAGAGCGTATATTGCCCACCAAACCCGCCGTCTCATATCTGCCTCGACTCTGGAACGTACCCCAACTACTTCCAGGTGGAGGTCGAGGTCTTGCGCACTTCGTACGGCGCTGCCCAACCAAGTCCAAGCCGCCGACTTCAAATTCAGTTCGTTCAAAGCAAGCGAGACAAGAAACGACGCTCGGACGTTATCCAGGTCAAAGTTATCGTTCCAGGGATCCATCAAGCTTCGCGATGCCTCCAGTAGCTCACTGGCCTGTAGCGTCCTGTCTGGATACGGCTCGTTACTAAATAGGCTCCCCACAGCCAAAACCGCGAAGAACATAGAATGCCACGAGATGGGAACCCGCTGTATATTAGTAGTGTTTTGGTATAATTCCTCTACCTGATGCTGCAACGTCGGCCAATGAAGTATTGGCATCATGATGTGTGCCGCCCCGTAGTACGTATGGAGAAGCTTGTCTACGGTAGCTTTAGGAGGTAACGGTGGTCTGGGAAGGTCGAACGCGACAACAGCCGTCGGTAGTTGTCGATACGCTGCTGGCGGCTTCAGGACACCTCTTGAGAAGTTCCGGAAAGCCACCCTCGCTCGTGAGGGATCCTGCAGCGGAGGGGCCGCTCTTCTCCGCCTCCTAGGTTCGGAGTTTAAGTCCGGGAGAAACTGCTGCGATAATTGCTCAGCACTTTCTCCATCGACATCCATGTGCTCGCCCCGTTCAGCCAACGTGCGTCTTAGATTACTATTCTCCCTCCGTACCCTCTCTATCTGCTTCTCGAGGTCTTGCACTTGTTTGATAGATGACATGCGCCGGTTGGTCTCCTTGGTGAATTGGCATTTGACATTGCGGCTCGAGCATTCCGAGCAACTCGCTGTCTCTGTAGCGTCACACTTAACCTTTCTTTCCCGACAGGCATCGCAGCTTTACACGTGTACGGAACACTGAGAAGCGAATATTGGATTTTCTTACGCTAAGGTGGTTAAAGAAAAAACCAATACCCGTCCTCTCGAAGTCCCGTACGGAGAAGTCAGCATCAAATCTCTTTACCGCGAAAAAGGGGTGCCTAGCAATTATTATGTCGAACTTCTCTCGTTTACGAGACTAGAACATACATAAAAAAAGAACGCTGCTACCGAACACATACCTTGGATCTTTCCTCCTTTGGCGGTAGGCGCGCTTCTGGGCCGAGACGTTCGCCGACAGCTGAGCGCTAGAAAGTCCTGGAGTGCTTGCCACCGACTCGGTTGGGGGCAACGAGTCCCGGCCCATCACCGAGGTTGCCGTCACCGGCGTATAGGGTTGAAATCCCGTCTGGGATGCTGGAGGTAGTTGCGTAATACCTATGGGTTGTGGAGTTTGCGCGGCGTTTGACCTCACGTTTGAGCCCATCAAGTTTCCCAGAAGCTGCTGGACTTGCGGGCGAGGTGAAGTTGCCGACGAGACCGAAGAAGAGTCATACGATCTTGTGGATGGGTTGGGGGAACGGGGAAATGGATTGTGCGACGAAGCTGCCATCGTTGGGAGGCTTACGGTTAAGCTGCTGGCAGCTTGGTCGGGCGGAGTTCTCCTCGGATCGGGCTCTCCCCAGTCGGGCGGGTTTCTGGGGAGAGTTGCCGCTCAAGGAACATGCAGAGAGCTGTGCTGCAGTCGTCTCTTCAAGGACGGCCAAGTATCAGAACAGTTTCCAAGCACCATTCCACCGTAGTCCAGACCTAGGATGATGAACATACGGCAAGCGGTGGGTTTTCGACGAGAGGAGTTGAGAAGAGCTAACTATCCACTATCCTCGCACCGAGACCACAAGAGCAAGAGTTCGAGCCTGGTTCACGTAAAACCGTCTCTTTGTTCGTTCTCGATAAATCCTAGGGACCAGCTGCCCTTTGCGGTGTTGCAGCAGCGTTGTGTTACTAGACGAATTCGTTCAAGTTCTAGTCCCTCGCCTAGCCCGCATCCTCTAAGCATTCAACCACCCAACAGATCAGCTCCGGCGGGGGGGTTTCCCAAACTACGCGGGACGGACGACCGGCTGGGAACAGAGTCTCGGAAGCGCTAGGGCTGGGGCTGTTGCGATCCAGGATCCAATACTGCTATTCTCCGTGCGGTTGGAGGCTTTCGCCGGCATCAATAGGGATTGAGAAATGGTCGATTGCCTAAACGGGAAGGGTGAGCCTGCCGGTAGGCGACAATGATCATGTGCAAATGTAAAGTATTATAACTACGATACGGGTTTAATGTGGTGTTACTCCAGGAGGGACTCCGGGGTGACGACGATGGGTCTGGCAAATGAGCTGCCTCACGTTCGAGGATAGCCGGTGACGGGAAAAGAAAGCAGCAGCAAGTTCTGGAAAGGGCAGTGATTTGAGGAGAAGGGCGATGGCAAATCTGTCGCTGTCGATAGACAGGCTACTGCTACTACTACTGCTAGTTCGCAGGTGTATATCCATCTGGTTCTCCCGCCCTAGCCCGGCGCCGAAGCAAAAATCGGAAATATATAATCTGGAGGGGTCGAACTAAATCCTTCTTACTCCTGACCCCTGTAAATAGTACAAGGAAGGCAGTTAAAGCAGGGCCCTTGGGCGATGGCTCGTCGACAACAGAGGAAAAAAAAAAGAAGCTAGCTAGCTACGGTGTTTCGAGCTGTGTATGTAGGTGGGCCGCCGGCCTGGGCCCTAGCTTGACCCTAATATAATAAGCACAGGTCGCCGTACTGTGGTAAAACCCTAGGACCTTGCCAGATCAAGGGGGGCAAGCCGCGATGGCGAATCGGGCAACCGCTCCAAAATAGCTTAATAGAGGTCCCATGTATGTACATATATCTGTATGTATATCTGTATGTATAGCATAGCTGTAGTGTACGTATGGCTGTGTGTATGGATGGATGGATGAATGGATGGATGGATGGGTGTCTGTATGTCTATAATGTATGTCTATAATGTATGTCTGTACATATATGTGAGTAGGGCCCGCGGTTCTTGCTCTACATAGCATAGGTATATTCAACTGATGTCTGTCTACTATTACTCCCCGATCCCTTAAGCATGTATGTATGTAGGCATGTGTGTAGGCATGTACCGTAGCGCTTTAAACTCGGCGAATGCGCCTAGCAGGGAGAGGATGTCCATTTTGGCTTGCAGAGGCCCAATGGCTTGTCAGAGGAACCCTCCTTTCCCCCCAGCTTGATGCTAAATATGAACTATAGCGTACTCGAGTACATTCATGCGACAACTCTACCCTCCCTACTACGGTAGGCCGTTCTAATGTTCGGCTGGCCTGTCCTGGCCATGTAGGGATCCTGGACCTGGACTACATAGTATGCAACCTCCACACTGGAAAGCTGTACCGTACCTAGTAGCTGCGCATTGTTTTAGCGTGGGATATCTTAGGTAGGACTGGCTGGCGAGTCGGCACTCCCCTCGGCTGTGCCCAGGTTCGACCAGGCCCGTTCGGGTTGCATGATGTGCATTCGGAACCCAGGAATCAGGTGTAGAGGGCCCTTTTCGCATTCCTCGCATTCCTCCTCCTCTTCCCGCGCCTTTCATTACGCTACGTCTCTTCCCCCATCATCGCTATCTTTTCCGCCCGGCCATTCGCCGTAGCTCTCCAGCCCTTCAGCTGCTCAACTTGGCAACACGCTACTATGTAGGTGTCTGTTAGCAAGAGGTGGTGCGAGGGAAAACAATAATACCTATGCTACGTGTAGGGGGATTCCCTGGTAAGCGGCAGTGGCCGGTCCGTTGTTTTAGCAGCCTTTTGACAAGCATGGCTAGGACCAAGTCATGTATGTATTGTACCCAACGTATGTACTAGTTATAGTGTATGTACCTAGGTATGCTGGTATGTAAGGTAGGTAGTTATGTAGACAATCGTCTGTGAGCCCGTGACCCGATCGCTTTTTAATAAAACCTGGCATATGAAAAGAGGAGCGTCCCACTGGTGGACAACGGCTCACGACAGGGTTGAATATGGTCACTAACGACAGCTAGCTTGAAACGTACCAAAGATCGAATGCTCTCCGTGCTCATGCCGATGTAACCTGATCGCTTGGTTAAGCTAAAACTAATAAACTCCGAGGCATTGGCACCCATGTGTCGCGCGCTGGGGATTCCGATACCTACCTTCATTCTGGAGATGGTGTTCTTTTGTCGTCTTTATTCTTTCAATCTTCGGGAGACGAGACCCAGCGGGCAGGCAGTCGGGTGTGCCACGAGCTCGTGGCATCTCTCAAAGCCTGTGGCGTTTTATGGAGGTCCCATCCCGAAAACAAAAGAAGAAGAAAGACCCCCAACTATTACTAGCCCGCCCCTCAATCTTTCTCGACTAAGTTAGTGATTTGATCCCGGGGCGATCTGGTCATTTTCAAGGCACGTTTGGTCCTGGTGATAGCCCTAACGCTTTGCATGGGAATACCCCCCCTCGGCTTCGACTGTAGTAATCTGGCTGGGGTTGAAAAGGGCATGGGGAACATGCAAGGTGCCGCAAAGAGATCACACTACCAATACATAGCCTGCATATCAGTATGCTAGCTTTGGAGCCCGCCAGTCCACGATGAGGGACGATTCCGAATAGGCAAGGGGGATAGGTAATGGAGTTTTCCGTTTCTACCTTAGGTACCTAAGGTACAAATCCAGTTCCAATCGACGAAGGGGTGGATAATGCGCCGCATCTTTCATAACATACCTACCTACCTACATAGGTAGATACTCGGCGACGGCATGGGACGTCTCTCGCTACCTACTATCTACTTACAGCCGTATGAATGGTTGAGATAGCTTTAAGTAGTCTATTGCCGAAACGATCCTGCACCTTTCTAATAACTCGCTCTTCCTACCGGGTTTCCTAACTGAGAACCGTGCCGCCTGAAGGCATAGCGCGTCGTACATACACTTTGTAGTGGCTGCATCGTAGCATAGAACAAGATTGAAGATATAGAAGATGGTGAATGATTACTGAAAGCCTGGCTTGAAGCACTAGCCCCGGCCGATAGCAACAGAATCATATGAATAGTGCCGCTCAAATACGCCGAATGTCATGAACAGCGTAGACGTGCATACGTTAGGTCAGGTCTAGGTAGTTGGGCTCGACCACAGTGTTTATATAAAACTACTGTAAACGGTTACAACCAATTGCAGTTGTATAAACTTTAGTTAATAATAACAAACAAACTAGCATTGATAAGGAAAGACATTGTCTGACTTTGTCTTACACACGCCTCATCTTGGGATCGCAAGCCATCTGCTTCGCTATTATTAGTGTCTACTTGGTAGCCTCATGCATGAGCCTTACTCTTAAATATAGTAGTAAATGATCCACTAAAAAAATATTCGAATAAGGGTTGAATTCGCCGTGGTGCGCAGGGAAGTGTGGAAATTTAATCATATCTTTATACAAAGGGAAAAGGCTATCCAAAATATCTTCACCGAAACCCACTTCGAGCAAGGGCGAGAATAACGAATCTGCGAATGGATCATGGATAAAAGCCACGCGGATACGTAGCAACCAGTCGTCAAGCTAAAACAAGGGGACAAGGATATGAAGTTGTATTAAGGTGCGAAGCTTATGGATGGCTGGGAGGGATCTTTAAAAATCATATAATAACAGCACAACTATAAGCATGTCAATCAGATCATGAAGATCCGGGACGCTATCCCACGTTCTCTCTGTCGGCTCATGACCTGAGCTATACTAAAGAGCTAGGGCATACATATCCTTGGAATGAGAAGCATGCTGTTTGCGGGCTTTCCCAACAAAGTAACCTAACCTAGCTACTTAGCCCATCCACTCATCGCGAATAATCCCACTAGGCAAACTCGCGCGCACCAACGCTGGTCGAGCTATGCTATCTAGGTAGTAGCAATGGTTCTAATAGTGTTGAAGTCAAGCCAAAATCGGCAGATTGCTGCATGGTAAATATCGAGATCGTCAGGGGATTTGAGGCTTTTAGGAGGATAGAAAGTTCCTAAGTTAAATCACAGGGATAAAGCAATGTCCATTTCACCGAGTTACGGATCCTGATTACTACCTAGGCATGCTTATAACTAACTAGCTTGCTGATTCGACGGTCCCGGGTTATCGAATATGATTATATATACTGTACGTTAGGACGGTACCGTGTCTTATTGGCACGATTTCGACCTACCCGAAGGGCAGTCATTGAGATACGGAGGTGTGAACGTATTAGGGAATATTCGCAGGAGAGAGCCACGGGCATGGGAAGATATATTGGCTTCCACTGAAGCGGGAGGGATTATGGCCGATTTCTAGGGCTGTCGGTTTCATGCTTGCGCCGCACTGGTTGTTTGTTACGGCAAAATCGAAATCCATGTCATATAAAAGCTCTCGATATAGGTACATAATGCAGAAAGTATGCATAAATTTATTAACTGCTAAAATTATGACCAGTAACTTTTCAAAACAACCCGAGTAGCAATCATTCAATCATATAGACTATCATAGACTTGAGAGTTAAGTTAGGCGGGTAAAGGTTAGTTCGTAATTTCTAAGTAGGTTAAGAAGTAGGTAGTAAATATAAAGTAACTAGGACACATGTTACGCCGTGTAAGTGTTACCGCATCGAACGAAATCAACAGTGATAGAAACTTACTTTGTACGGCGTACATATTGACCAAGGGACAGCGCGGAAGACATCCGACTGGGCTCCATTAAGCATCATGTGCGCGGTAGAGTGCTATGTACCTACATACTATAGCAAAGCAACGTTAATCATACTGGGTATGTAAAGCCAACTACGGTCTTCTAGAAATGTTCTTTAATTGACATTCAATTTATCTATTACAACAAGACAGGAAACGTATGCCCACGGCTTGCATGATGTCTCACTTTCCGGGATTCTATTTACGTAAGCTTCATCTTTATTTCCTATGTATCATCCCGGAGACCTGCGGTAACAGGTAGTTGAGTAATAAAACTGGTCGGAGATTGAAGCTATTCCTGCACAACAACGATACAAGGAGCGTACCGTGTCAATCGAGAATGACACCATACAAATCTAATAACCCATGATAGAGGATTGGAAGGCTTAACATCCTTAGTTGAAGGTTACTCTCTCGCTCACTTACGGACTTCGCCGCTTGTTAGCTAAGACTGCATTTAGAAAGACAATGGAGCTGAACAGGTAAGGGGTAAGAAATAAGATAGATCGGGCATCTACTGCTAGGTATCTTATTAAGCTAGCGGATATTCACCCTGCGATCTAATCTAGATTTTCTAAGCCGGCATTCTGTAGCTCGCCGCGAAGACGGATCCCCCTCCCCTTTCACTGCCTAACCTAGGCTAAATCTGTATCACATTTATTACTGCAGTCGCCTAAGCGTACATAGTATGTACTACTTACTGTAGAGCTCATACTATGTAGAAGAGCTAACATACCTATCTAGCGTCCTCCATCCCTGGAATCGCGTGCGACTGGGCGCGCCCATCCATCACTTCTCGGCTCCCTCCGGACGTTTCGAACACCAGGCACTTGTACACGCACCTATCCCCACGGATGGTGCAAGTCTTACTATAGGTTAGGTAGTTAAGTCAAGTATATCGAACTAGTTTAACGAGGGAGACCAAGTCAGTTAACCCTCATCAGCGACGACTATTTTGGAGTGCTTCCTATAAGTTTAGATTACCATACTAACGGCCAGTCTGGACCGAATTCGATCCAGACCCGTCTTGAAATATGATAGGTCATGACTGGTCCGTTTCATCATCGTTGCACATGGACCTTCTCCCCGGTTTCTATATGCCGGGAACCGGTTAGCCGAATATTGGGATCTGTATATATAAGTTAATGAGAAACTTGGTCTATTAGTTATGAGAGACCAGCGCTTCGGCGGTGTCTAGGTACCTCTAAAGAATCTAGAAAAGACCCTTTCAACGGTAATTTGCATCACACCTGCATCTGCCCACCTTCAATATTGGTCTGGAATACTTCCACGTTCCGGGACCGCACGCGACTGGCCTGCAGGGTCGCCGACGAGCAGTACCTACGTTAGCTGCGCCGAGACGATCTGTATTTACGAGCCGCATGAGATAGAGGTAATATTCGGGTTGTCCTACAAGCGAACGAGGCAGGGGTTTCGAGGTGAAAATTTAGGAGGATCAAAAGCCAAAAGCC